TAGACCAAGCGAACCCGTAAAAATTTTTTTTTCTTCTTTTTCTCTCTTTCAGTATTAGAATACTTCGGTCGATCGCGCGATTTAAATCCCCAATATTTGAACGCGTTGCCTTTCGTCGAAAAAGATTTTTCTTTCTTTTTTTTCTTCTTTCTAAGGTCGAGACACACCCAGTCTCGTCGCGGAATTAATAGAGCACGGTCGTTACGTAAGCGCACGGCTTAATTTTTATGCAAAAGGCCTTACACGTTTTTTGTAGAGCGTCGCCTGTATACGCAATTATAAATAAATTATAAATTATTAATCCTAACCCACCCCCCCTTCTATATGTTTCGTGCATTTCAGAAAAGCATACAGGTAAGTTTTACATAGTTATCGCAAGAAGATTACTATTCGATTACCATAGAATTGACCACCGTAACTACAATTGTGGTCATATGCTCGATATTCAATATAATATTATATCGTTATACCATCTCTAACAAGCTAACGCTACATCAAGACTCGACTGGAATGTGCCTCTAATTAATTGGCGCATCGTTATTCTCTTCCAATTTCACTCTCGCTATCCATTCTCTCGTTTCATTCTCGATCCCATACGTTCCATCGACTACGGCATTATTGCATACCTTTCCCTTGTAATCGCTAGATCACTGATATAATCAAGAACCCAATGGAACGCGTAAATTCGTCCATCCTGAACATTTTCACTTTAAGTAATTAAGTAGGCCAGTTTCCCCTCTATTATTACTCGTTATGTTATTCCTTTTGAAAAAGCGAATCCTTTCATCGGCTACGAAAATTAATATCGATTTTCTTTTTTACATAGCGTTCATCGTAGTTCAGCATAGTTTGGATACCGCGTGAAGATTCGTACGGTATCTTTTCACTTTTTAATCTGAGCGATCCATTCGACACTGACCAATCCTTCCCTCTCAGTATACAAGACATTCTCTAAACTCGATGACGTCAAGTCAGCACCATTCCAGAGAAGTACAAAAAGGAAGAAAAGAAAAGAAAAGAAAAAAAAACGAAACAAATTATGAATTATTACATTAAGAACATATTCAAAGAAATTCTACCGTATACCCCCCAGCGCGAGTAATACGAAATTCTCGCGTGAAGATTAAACGGAGCGATAATGAGCAGTTAACTTGTTCATTTAGCCCAAGCTCCTAATGATTTACCTCGTGAAAAGCGTCACTGCTGTACCGGTGTCGGTGGGTAAGGATAACCATACGGCGGAACGGCCTGGAACTGCCCGTATCCCATGGACTGATAAGCGCATGCGTTGGTGCCAGGAGGTGGTCGATTTGTCTGGAAGAATTTGTTGTTGACGAGACTCTGGATACTGGAATCAGTGTGACCTCCAGGTGGCATCATGAACGGAGGTGGAATCGAGTACATTCCCTGGTTGTTCTGACTGCTTCCGTAACCGTTGTTCTGTCGACTGTTGAAACGATTGCCTTGATAACCGCCACGACTCTGGTAACGCGGTGCGCCGCCATTTTGATAGCCGGCGCTACCATTACCGCCGCCGCCGCCGCCACCGCCACCTTGGTAGCCGTTGCTGTTAGATTGATATCCATTCTGATAGCCATTTGTTTGACGTTGCTGGTAGCTATTTTGATAGTTGTTTGGTCGAGCTTGGTAGCCATTTTGTTGACGAACAAGAGCTCTGTTATCCTGCTGTACGTTCTGTGTGTTGTTCTGCCAACTATTTCCTGTCGGACTGGCGTTGCTCCTAGGACTTCCGCTAGAGTTGTTGTCCTTGCTGGATCGGCTGTTGTTCCAACGCTGACGACCCTTTCCGTATTGATTTCTCTGGGAGTTGGCCATCTCGGCTAGCTGTGGGTTGATCGGCTGTCCAGCTTCCTCGAGAACGGATATCAATTCCTTAGCCTGCCTCGCGTTGTTTGGCGTGAAATAGGCGTAGGCAGTTCCGGCACTTTGACAACGTCCGGTCCTTCCTATTCTGTGAATGTAGTCTTCGGAGCTGTTGGGATAATCAAAGTTCACGACGTACTTTACATCCTCGACGTCCAATCCGCGAGCAGCCACATCAGTTGCAACCAGAATAGCGGTCTTTCCGTTACGGAATTCCGATAGTACGTAGTCTCTTTCAGGCTGCGACTTATCGCCGTGAATGGCAATTGCGGACCAGCCGTCTCTCTTAATGGCTTTAGTGATATCATCCACCTTCTTCTTAGTTTCCACGAAGATGATAGTTTTGTTCCCACGCTCGGAGCTAATCTCTCGTAGAAGACCCGAGAGCTTGGACTCTTTCTCGTGTTCCTGACAGATCTCAATAATCTGACGAATGTTATGATTGGCAGCCAGTGTCAAGGAACCGATATTAATTTGAATATAATCAGTGAGGAAGTCTTCGGCAAGGGCTTGCACTTCCTTTGGCCACGTAGCCGACCACATCAACACCTGACGATCTGGTCGAATCTGTTCAATGATCTTGCGGATCTGCGGCTCGAATCCCATATCAAGCATCCTGTCAGCTTCGTCCAACACGAGATACGTACACCTGCGCAAGTTCGTCGTACCCTTCTCCAGGAAGTCGATCAACCGTCCGGGAGTGGCTATGCAGATCTCGACGCCGCGCTCCAAGTCACGAGCCTGCGGTCCTTTGGGCGATCCACCGAAGATGCATGTGTTGCGAATACAGGAAGAGGAACCAAAGTCACGGGCTACACTTTGAATCTGCTGTGCCAATTCCCTAGTAGGTGCTAAAACTAATACGATCGGACCCTCTCCTCGTCCCAGACGAGGTTGATTGTTAATGTGAACGGTCGCTGGTAGAATATACTATAACATAAGCATATATAGACCAATGAATAATAACAATGTACCACCACCAAGAGAAACCGGCGTGAATCCCCCCTTTTGAGTGCCGGTTGAATGAAGCGAAATACTTACGGCCAAAGTCTTCCCAGATCCTGTTTGAGCAATGCCGACCATGTCGCGTCCGCTGAGTGCGATCGGCCAACCCTGCGCCTGGATGGCTGTAGGCTCCGCGAATCCCTGCTTTCTGATCTCCTCCATTACGTAGTCCGGGAAATTGCTCTCCTCGAACGCCTGAATCGGAAACGGGGTGTTGTTTCCCTTGACAGTGATCTCCTTGCCAGCATGGTACTTGGTAACTTCATCGGCCGTGCGTCCCATCACGTTAGCATGGGGGACGTAAAGGTTCTTGGTAATAACTGGCAAAGACGTCAGGTCCCAATTTGGCTTCTTTAGTAAATCACCGGGGATTTTTTTCTGATTTTGCTTCTTACCCCCAAAATCATTTTGATTTTGTTGCTGGCTATTCCAATAGGTTCCACCCCCATTCCGATTGCCATACTCCCTGTTCCCTCTGGGTCTGTAACTATATCCATTAACCCATATTAAACATTTATCTTTCTAAATCATAACGCGGAAATGTATTAGTAGATAGCAATTTGGCAATAATTATAAATGCCTAGCAATATTATTCTAGCATCACTTTCTATTCGATTCTTACAATTTTCATTCCACCAAAATTTCTATGATTATAAGCACGTAATCTAATTTTAATGCTTGTATCTAAAGAGGTTACGATCTTAGAATTAATATTGAATTATGTTAACAAAGTGTATATGGTAATAGTGTGGTAGGTGTTATTTTATGCATGCATGAAAGTGGAATAACAATGAAATGCATTTTATCCAACAACAAGAATACAATTTGAGTTTTGTTTTACATTCATTCACTGTCTTGTGTTTCATGCTTATGTGCAAATAATATGACTCAAAGTACTCCGGCTAATTATAAAAAATATCAAGAGAAATTGAGCCTGTTATGCCACATGCAAGTAATTTGCAGCTCTGTGTGACAGTCGCATTGATGACAGTTTTTTCCCACAACAGGAGAATACAATTTTCAGAACAAATAACAGCTGATTCAGTTAAAATTGTTTAATATATAAATATTATGCCATTAATGTCAAAATGAATCAGTTATCAGTAATCAGTTAATCAGTGTATCATACAGAAACAACGTACTTCATTGTATACTAACTGTCACACTAAACTATTATAAACATGTTTATAGGAATATAAAAGGTCATCCCTACAAAGCCAAAAATGTTAGAAATAACAGTTGATAACAGATACAAACGTTGCTAAAAGGTAAGGAATGAATTATTATGACAAAATAAGCTTAAAATATTACATTTGATTTAAAGTATAAACATTATGAAGAATCTCCAAGAAAAATGATATATAACATCAGTATAAATCACAGTAATCTGCTGGTCATAAAAAGATACTTTCAAATTCCTTCAAAAATACTTTGTATCATTTTTTATACAAAGTTGCAGACAACCAAATATTTTAAAATGTGATGCAGTTTAAGCAAAGCATTTTCCTATGTTCAACAACAGTTATGCAATCCTCTTCAAGACAAAGTTACCTATTGCACCACAGTTGAAACTTTAAATATACCATTGAGCTATCAAATACAATGTACTGTGAGAAGTCAAATAGTTATCTATATATTAAAAGAAAAACTCCATTGTGCATTCTTTAGAAACAGTATTGATTACACAAAGATCTTGATTTCACTATTTATCTATTCCATTACCAAGAAACAGTCTTCAGAGACAGTTGTCTCAAAAGTACAGTGTATCATGTACATTTTTATTCATCCTTTTGTTCTCAGACGTTGCACATTGAAATAAATGATCAGTAAATAATCCAGTACATTTCCATGAAACGCTTTATCATTCTTTCTTCAAACTCGCGTACAAAGTGGAAATGTTCAATAAGGCAAATGCACTGACATGTAAAATGAGTCGTGATAAAATTATCACGTATGCAGAAAATATGCATACTGAATATCGGAAAAAGCAATGATTACTTTCAAGCGTAATAGAAGTTTGAAAATGAAGGATTCATTGCGAATAGAAAGACCGTGACGAGTGTGAATAAACGTGGAAGAAAGGCTGGCGTACAAAATGGCCGGTACAGTTGCCGAGTATAAGAAAATTGACTGGCTACCCAGGGATTATCGATCGTAGTCGCGCGTAGTGCACGCCCGTGATTTTCTGTAGACTAAATGCAGCAATGAATGAAAAATATTAATTGATTACTCACGAAGTTTGATTGGAATATCCGTTGCTGTACATCTTGCACAGCGTCAACGATCGTAAGTGGCTTGAAACGATCCTCCTTTGGTGTTCACGAAAAACTATGTCAGCCTGTGCCAATCAAACCTGCGAACAGCCAAGAAAATACCGTTAAGATCTTCGGCCTACGGTTCAAGAATTTGTGTCAATTTTATACCCAAGTGATAACACGCATATAAACGCGAAACGTTATGTTAAATTTGTGATTGCCTGTTGTCGCGAATCAAGAGAAATTCCCGAAAACTTACCTAAAGAACCCGGCGAACAGAGCGACAATGGCTGACAGGCGCTGGGAAGACGGAAACGGGCAACTGGGCAACATTTCCGTTCAGCACCTCGTCACGTGGGTTTCTTTCAGGTAAATCACGTGATCGCCGCCAGCCAATGAAAGCTTAGCGTCAGCACGTCACGGGGGCACAGCCAATCGGAATCCTCCTTTCCAAATCGATGACTGCTTTAAGCTGCTATCTCTTTCTCACTAATCTCTGACCGTACAGCTGTCTCTTCGTTAAAGAAGCAAGCATGTGGGAAATGCCTGGAGAACTTACGACTGCTTACGACTTTCAATATTCAATAAATACCTACCGTAATTGGACTTTTATGTATTTCTGCAGTTATAAATATCAAAATGTTTCTTCTCTTAATTACTATGTTTCTACATGAAGGATCTAAGCACAACTTGTGCTGTTCTCAAAATAAGCAAGCTTGTTATTCATATTATTATATGTATGCATGTACATACATGCATATGCGTACTTTTATGTTGGCTTTCAATAGACGTGCCTATCCTTAGATGATTTTGTGTACATATACGCCATTTACCGTATACATTGTATGCGCAAACGTATAACTCTGACAAACAGTACGTGCTATTTGTATAGTGTACACTAGAGACTTTTATACAATAGTTCTTTAATGTAGTATGCGAAAGAGAAACCTTCAACCGTTCTAAACTCTCGGAGGAAGGATCATTGACAGAGAAAGTAACATGTTCCGGATGTATTTTCATTAGATAGAAATCTTCCAGATAGTTTCGTGCAATCGTAATATCATATAGTCCAAGGATAAGTATTGTCATCTAATGAAAGTTGATGTGAAAACAAAGGAAACATCGTGCAAAGAGTCACAATGTCGACTCTCGTAAAATTCTTAAATAAATCAAGGATAATCAAATCATTATAAGTTCGGAATTGGCCTTTATCATTCTCAGCATTCCAGCTCGTAAGCCTGGAGCCGAAATCAATAAAGCTCTTCCTGCCGTGACTATAAATAGACTTCCACGTTCTCTGCTCTCTGCTCTCCCTCTCAATGAATGTCTATACTTTTCACATTGCCACACCTGGAGGTACCAATACTAGCGTCATAAAAAGCATTTAAATCGACAAAGCATTTTGTCCGACTTGTTGGATTGTCAACGTTTCTTGTAGGTTAATTTAAGATGTGCGCAAGGTCTTCTATATACAAGTCAATAATAAAAAATGTACATTCTCTTACTATGTAAAGAGAAACTTCTTCAGACTGTGTAACTTTAAAGTTTACTGCAGGGAAACGATAATATCCCTGCAAGATTTCATTATTTTTCATGAGATTCTTCTTCCAGAAACTTCTCCACTGTACGGCTGGGATAGTATAATATTTTTTTTTTCCCCCTTTTTATTCGGTCGCTTCTTCCGGTTTCGCTCGATAAAGCGTAAGCCAATGGCTGTGCTCTGCTATACATATTGTCGCATGCTCACTGGATTGCTCCGCATAAAATCGATAGAGCTCTAGCTGCTGGATTGAGCCGTTTTCCCCCCGAGAACTTACTGGAATTCATGGCCGTAGCTCGGTGCTACAAGTATTTATTTACGTTTCGTTGCTATAACAATATTTAATTCACTTGGCGATTTAATATCTTACTTGAACAATTTCACACTGTTTTATAGAATTGACCAACGATGCGACAGAAATATCTATTTCGGTCATGGCTATGAAGATTATGCGTCTATCTGAATGATTAATTAGTCTTGTTTCTTTTGCAACAGTTACGTCAACGTATTACTTACCATTAAATTCATTCAGCCTTTCAGAACCTTCGTATCGGATATGTTCAGTGAATGAACAATCTCAGATTTCCAAAAATAATGTAAAAAATGACCAAGACGACGATTCATCAGTCACAGATAAAGAATTTCAGAATTAAGGATAAAATAAGTATGAAGTTCTGCTACGACGATTATTCATCTTCATAAATTCTAGTAACAGGAAAAAATGAATCTTCAGTTCTTCAACTTCCAGTAAAAATTGTACTGAGAATAATAAGTGTCGCTACTGCTCTAATGACAATATTTTCTTTCACACCAAATATATAACCATAACGTATCTCACGTATCCTGACAGTTGAATGAAGTTCATTTTCATGGGAAAAATGAATGAGAAGCAGGAATCTATGTGTCTGGAATAGGCTCGTGACAAGGACGCATATTTTGAAGGGTGATTAAACTGTAAAGAGAGAATCGATTTAGATTAACAAATTTTATTTGTTATTATATTCGCGTTAAATACTGTACATCGATGAGTCATTGAATCATTGCTAAGTATCTAAATTACAGAGGAATGAATAGCAATTGAACACTAGACATTTATACGCCATTACAATCGACAGACAGTAGAAACAAACGTTACGCGACATTGATCTTACACTCCGAGAAGTCTGTGTTTCACGATAAAACGATGTCCAAAGTACCGTGTAAAAATGACAATTGATTTTTCGGTCACGCCCACGCGTACCTGTACCTCGAGACATCGGGAAAGATTTGATGAAAGTGGTGAAGAGGGACACATGAAGACAAGAGGCGGTGGATGGTGAATGAAGAGTCGCAGCTTCGGCGAACAGCGCGTGACAAAAATGTTGGGTGCTCAGTGTTCTCTCTTTTATGACAATTACGAACTAGTACTGCCAAATTTTCGCCATCAGCCCGTAGGAGATGATCATCTTTCACTGCTCCAGTAGCTCTTTCCGATGACTTCTGTAAAAAAAATTAAGTACGCATTATAGAGAATCGGCGCACAGCAACGATTCATCGTGATCCTCTAGAGTCTTTTTCATAGATTCTTATGAGGTAGGATCGCTCTTAATGTAAGCGTGAACAACGTAAAACATCCTTAGTAGAGTCTACGCAGGGCTGTTGGTTGTTCACGAGGTTTAATGCTGAAAAATTATCGGGCGAGTATTACTTGTGATAATCACGTATTCGTTATTAATTTTACAATTAAACATGGCCCCCAGTTTCTTCGGCATCGATTCGTCAAGTCGATTTTCACGTACAAATAATACCGTTGACCAGTGAGGGGTGGTGGGTGAGGTGTTTGACGCTTAATAAATGGTGAACGGATGGCCGGCTTTGATCGCAAAGATGGAAAGTGAGGAGATGATGTGAGACTTGGAGAGGACCACTTTGAAATCTGTCTTAACGTGCTGTCAAGCGAGCTGAAAAGAACACATGAATATCCTACAGTGACTGCTATGCACGATACATGTTAGAGTCTTACGTAGGAAATGAAGAAGTTAAGGAAATTGAAATAAATGTAAAAGTAAAGCCAATGCCGAGATCATATCGTTACGCCACTGTATGAGCATGATTAACCAGCCCCGTGTGACGTAAACAGTAGATGAAACAAAAAGGGGAAGAAAAAGTACAAAGCCAAAGTGAAGACGTGCCTCCGTAGGTGAGTTGTCCTTCGTAGAGAGAAGGCGAAGGAAGTAGACCGTCAAAATGGACTTGACGTACCGCACCCGCAAGATCTAAACAAACCTTTTGGCCACGCGGCAGAGCAGGAGTGGCGCTGCTAGCGATGAAAGCCATTGTTGGGGTGCATAGGCGGCGGAGGCGGCTGGTAGTATGCCGAGGGCGGCAGCAGCACGTTCTGATAGCCACCCCCGCCTATTGGGGCCGGAGGGACCATGTTCATGTTAGGCGGAGGTCCGCTCCCGTAGTGGTGATAACCGTCACCCACGTTCGCCATGTTCACCCTTGGCGGAGGAGGAGCTCCTCCCTCTCCCATCGCCAAAACCCCCATAACCTTTGTGCGAAGAGGTGGTGGCGGAGCCCCCGAGAAGTTCGGATGGATGTGAGGGACTAACGGGGACCCCGCCGTAGGTCCCAAGGAAGGCGTAAGGGATGGTTGCAAAGGCTGTTGTGGCTGAAGTGGACCAGAACGGATCGAATGATTCGGAGTGGAGAGTAGCTGTTGTTGGACCATGACTCGACCTGGAGAATTTCGCCGATTGCCACAAGTAGGAGGTGCTGCTTGTGAAGAAGGTGGCGGCGGAGGAGGTGGCGGAGGTAGCGATACTGGTAAAGGTAATGATAGTGGTAATGGCGGTGGTAGTGATGGTGGTGGTGGTGATGGTGGTGGTGGTGATGATGGTGGTGGTGGTGGTTGTTGCTGAAGATTCAAACGGGTGGCTGTGGGAGGCGGAGTTGGAGCAGAGCCTCCACCGCTGGGACTGGCTGAGGACTTGCCTGTGCGATTATTAACGGGGCTGCGACTGCGGGAATAGCTGCGACTGTAACTTCTACGACTTCCACGGCCATTGCGTTCCCTGCTACGACTTCGACTTCTGCTTCTGGAATAGCTGCGTTCCCGTCCGCTGCGACCGCCTCGCGTGCGCCACCTGTTTCTTCCTCCTGAAACAATTGAGCGACACAATGTTATTCGAGAATCCTCATTGAATGTGCTATTAAATTTACTTATTGGAAACATCGCAGGTACCTCTGTGTCTTCCGTAGCCGCCTCCTCTACCGTCCGCCAATTCCAGTAGCTTGGGATTGATAACCTGATTGGCTTCCTTCAATACTTGTATCAGGTCGTTCGCCTTGTTTGAATTGTTCGGCGTGAAGAAGGTGTACGCAGTTCCTGTCTTCTGCCGACGACCAGTGCGTCCAATACGGTGAACGTAATCTTCTGAGCACGAGGGGTAGTCAAAGTTGATGACGAACTTTACGTCTTCAACGTCTGAAACGAACAGTGTCAGTTAATCGGTGACCCACTGGCTGTATGGGAGGATCGCGCGTAATACAGACATCAGTTTTTGTACGGTAGTGCTGCAAGGAATACGATACACCGCTGTACCGAACAGATTACACGAATTTACATATTGAGAAGAGACAACGCGGCATTAACCAACTGCAAGAAACGAATGCGCTCCCAAAGAACTGCTCGTCTGTGGCTACGACATGAGAACCAACACAAAGAAACTTAAACTATCGACGAACCTTAATGAGAAAACAAAAGTTCCAATGAAAAATTATTTAAATTCATCGACTTGTAAATATGATTAGTTACAAAAATCTGCTGTTAAACGTAAACACTGAAAAACATTTAATCTGAGTAAAGCGATTTGAATTTCCAAATAGTCGTAGCACTCACAAGAATAACATATTTTTAGTTCACTAAATTCATTTCAGTAAACTTCTATTTCTCTTATCATCAAATGACAATGTTACCATGATCGATGGATCGAGGTGACGTTACAAGCATCCCTACAGGATCATTGCACCAAGTTGAAGTAAAATGATAAAGCATCGATAGACACAAGCCACGTCAAAGAACTAATTTAAGACAATCTTTGAGGAGCGCATCGAGCATTATTAAAGTTTTTTAAATATAAAATAAACTATGACCCTGGAGATAACTCCGGTCGCCTCTTCGCAAGCGTCAATACATTAAAATATAATTTTGAGACATGAACTGACTTTCAACGTTAAGAGCTTAAAACTTGAAACTTGTATAAAAGTTCAAGCTGTCACAACAAAGTAAAGCTCGATCAATTATTAAAAAGCAATCCCTATGACCCCGCTGTTACCAATAAATTAAAAAAAAATAATTCCATAAACGCTGCAAAGAGCGACTGGAGTTCGGTACACAGGTGTGCTTTATTCGATACATGAGTTAGCATACTGTGAGATGCAAATGGACGGACAGACAGACAGACAGACAGAAAGAAAGAAAGAAAGAGAGAAAGCAAATGAAAAAAAGGAATGGAAAATGTAAAAGATGAGGACAAATAGGCAGATAAGAAAAATGAAAAAGTGTCATACGAGAAACGGATGTAATTAGAATTTAGGTGTAAGAGTAAGAGAAATGAAGGTGAAGTTACTTGGGATATGTAAATTAAATTGAATGATGATTAAGGGATGATAAAGGGGGATGGAGGCAGGTAATGGGAAAAGGTAAAGGATACAATGGGTGATATTGACTGATTTGATTGTATAGTATATTATACTATCATACTAAAATTAGTCAGTGGGCGAGTGTCGCTAGCAACGTACGGGCAGGGCCTGGCTGTTTGCGCTCGCTCCAGCTACAGCCTCCGCCGCTCGGTTGCTAAGAAGGGGCCCACTAGAGGCTCGGGCATCAGCTATCATGCCCCCGCCTCATTGGACCGGACCGGACCGCTCTGATTAGCTCGAGTGACCAGTGGAAGGGACTCTATTCTGGCAACAACGACCTGACCAGCCCAGGTGGCGTACGGCGTAGCGTAGGACCGAGATATCCGGTACGTAGATTAACGTAGGGCCTGTGATTAGGCCTGAGATTGGGCCCGGACTGGCCCGTCACGTTATTGACGGATAGAGGCACGCGCAGCAGCCAGCGCAGACAATGCAAACCAGTGCACCACCAAACAAAGAGGCGGCGGGGCGGCCCCAATATGCTTTGCATTACCCGGCGTGGGCCTGCGCGCAATGTGCCTCTGCAATGCAAACAAACATCCAGCCGCGTTAGCTACAAATCCTCATTTTCAATTCATCATCATCATCATCATCATTAACCTCCTCCTCCTCCTCTTCTTTTAATTCGCCTCATACCTTATATTATTCAATATTTTATTTTATTTAGAAGTACCTGCTCTACATTTTTTAAATTTTCATTTGTTCAATAAAGAAATTCTTGCTAATGCTTCAACTTATATCTTTGTTTATATTTTTAATTTTCATTCAAATCTACTTGTCAACAATTTGATGTTCAAGACAATTACTTTTACTTTACTTGGCTATGTTTCAAGTACAGTTGAAAAGAATAAATCATTTTATAAATGAAGTTAACCATATGTGTGCAATATATTTTAATGTTATCAATTGAGGTAAGTAGAATTTAATATACATTGTAATAGCACGATAATATATGAAAAATTGTTGACTGCTGATATTATGGTTTTAAAAAATGTGATTCAATGAAATCACGCATAGAAAGTTAATTATTAGCAATGATCAGACAGTATGAATCTTTACTGCGTAGCATCAATGGATGCAAGGACGACAATGGCTACTAATATCTTTCTATTTTCATTTTTTTTTTGCTGCGGGAAAACGATACAGAAACACGTATTCACTCCGCATTGAGTAATAATACTTGCGAGTACAACCAAGAGAAACTATTGAATGTCCAGTGAGGTAAATAATCGACTATATAATCATTTTCATAAAATAAATTATGGTTAACAACTTTGAAAATGTCTATTACTGAAAAGATATCAATATTTTATATCGTATTATGAGTTGTTTCTAATATTATAAAGAAAGGAAAAGAAAAGATCCCGCAGCTTGACTAAGGCATAAATGAGTTCCTACGTAGAAAACTTATACATTTGAGTTGTCAATACTAAATATATTTAAAAAAGTAAAAAAAAAGAGGTAGATTAGCCCACTCACCAAGCCCACGAGCTGCTACGTCTGTTGCTACGAGAATTGGAGATTTACCGGATCTGAAGTCTACGAAAAAGTTACATCAGTTTAATAAGATGTAAATAAAGATTTAAATTTATTAATTTTTTTTCAATATTACCTTGTAAGACCCAATCTCTTTCCTGTTGTGTTTTATCGCCATGAATGCAAACTGCAGGCCATCCGTCTCTCTTCATTTTCCTAGTGATTTCATCCACTCTGCGCTTCGTCTCGATGAATACTATGGTCTTATTTTCCTTTTCTGACATAATTTCTTTAAGAAGAGTACTCAATCTGCAAAGAAAGAAATAAATTGATTGAAAAGATCGAGTGCCAGGAATATGAGATTTACTATTGAAAAACAATAAGCTTACTTGTTCTCTTTCTCATAATCTTGACAGACATCTATAATTTGTAAAATATTATGATTCGCAGCCAGTTGCAGCGAGCCAACGTTAATCTGAGCATAATCTTTGAGAAAGTCTTCGGCTAAGTTCTTAACTTCTTTAGGCCATGTGGCAGACCACATAAGTGTCTGTCTATCAGGCCGTATCTGTTCAATGATCTTTCTGATCTGTGGTTCAAAACCCATATCCAACATTCTGTCGGCTTCATCCAGGACTAAGTATGTACATCTCTTTAAGTTCGTTCTTGCAGATTCCAAAAAATCAAGAAGTCGTCCTGGTGTGGCTATCACGATCTCTACTCCTCCATCAAGATCTCTAGCTTGGGCACCCTTGGGTGCGCCACCATATAGACAAGTATTTCTGATGCCTGATGAGTGTCCAAAATCGTCAGCCACTTGTTGGATTTGTTGAGCCAATTCTCTAGTGGGAGCCAACACTAGAGCGACAGGGCCATCTTTTCGACTGAGCTTTGGCTGACTATTAATGTGTACGATGGCTGGTAGAATATACGATAAAGTTTTACCAGAGCCTGTAGAAGCTATTCCAACCATATCTCGACCGCTTAAAGCAATAGGCCATCCTTGAGCCTGTATGGATGTTGGCTCCTTAAAACCTAACCTCCTGCAAATTAAATAAGGTACAATTGTATTAAATTAATAGATAAGATTTATAGTATAAAAATATAAGTGACATCAATGTCATAGCACTTACTTTACTTCCTTGAGTACATAATCAGGGAAACCTGCTTCTTCAAATGTGAATACAGGATTAGGAATATTTTTCCCTCTTAACGTGATCTCTTTTTCACTACGGTACTGTTCTACGAGTCGCATATCTCGATTTTGAACTGTATCGTTTGGTATGTAAAAATCTTTCTTGAACGGTTCTAAGCGACTGAGATCCCATCGTGGTTTCCTTAAATTTGCACCTGGCTGTCCCCGACCTCCACGACCGCTACCAACACGATCTCGACCACCGCCGCCTCCACCACCACCGCCACCCCAACCTCTTCTATCTCGTGGTGATCGACTGCGTGAACGGCTACGAGATCTTCGCCTCCTGTCCCTATCACGGCTCCGACTAAACATGTACAACAGTGAGATAGAAAAATTCTTATATATTAAACATTCTAAATACTTTTGACAGTTGTATAGCATGAAGTACGTACAATTAATATGTCTATGGTATCACGATATTCTGAACTTCATAAGAAAAAGCAGTGCATTTACATTTAAACTTATTTACCAAATAATGTTTATATACAACTGCTGATTAAAGCATTGATGTTTGATAAATGCTCAATAAAATGATAATGTTCTGTCATCAAAATATTAGATACAGCATAGTACATGATCGGTATAAAAGACAGTAAACATTTAATGCTACTTTATAAAAGAATGAATTTCTGCATGAATAAATAAATTATTAAATAATCAGTCTTATATAACACCTACAAGTACTGTGTGCTTCAATATGATTCAAATATGACATAGTGTTGCATCGGCAACAATTAAAATTCATTTGTACACATTAGATTTGAGAATTCTATAATTACTGCCAAAAATATCTTTCAAGAATGAGATGCATTATACATTCCAGAAAAATATAACACAATATGTTTTCCCATAAATCAATAATTACACATTCTAAGTCAAATGAATCAGTTTTGTTGGAAGGAGACTGACCGCATCCACCGTAACGTATGAACGAGGTTAATTAGCCTTCACATTAATTTAGCGCAACTGCAGGACGATCATTTGCAAAATATAAAACAAAAGTCGATACAATGCAATTACGCTGAGAAATGATCATTCGGAAATGGCGAATACTGAAGAAACGCAGGGCAGTTTGGACAAACCATTCAGATAATATATTATCTGGTAAAGTATCTACTGTACTATATAGGTTATGTAGCAGATTCCAAAATAGTGATTCGAGTATAATTGCAAAACAAAGGAAAAAAAAGAACAGAAACCCATCAAGCTTAACTAGAAATAATTTAACTCCTTCAATCCAATAATGCGAATAGCAGTTGTAACCAACTACACGCGACATTAAACTACAGGCTAAAGTTCGAACGATGCGCTTCAGTAAAAAGCGCGCGAGTGTATATTACATTCTATTATTACCTTCTGTAACGACCCATTTTTCTTTGTGATTGGAGCGACGATTCTTTTTAAATATCACTAATGAAAGTGGAATAAATTTATGGAAGAGCTGAGAGACATAAGAAGTTTGTGAGGATGGATCAGACGAGCAAGTGACGCAAAAGGAAGCGGGACTACTGACCAGTAAGGCCAAAGATTGGTAATGGACGCATACACGTGGCGGCGCCACAGTAGCATTTCCTGTATCATACCAAAATGACGGAAATATATTTAAATAAATAGCCAAAAATGGAGAACGAGTCATTGTTAGAAGCAGAAATTACTTTTTTTTTTATTATAGAATATCGATTGGGCACTAGTTGTCGGGGATTTATTGGTAGGGCCTTATTATATGTACATTGGGTATATGCAATAAGAAAAAGTAAAGAAAGTATTATAAACAACGGAACACAATAGCAAAGATATTACTTTACATAACAGATGCCTTTGGCAATGAGTGCGGGTCAATTAGATTCGTAGAATTGCTGTCTTAGCCGATGGATTTGCCGGTTTTTTAAATTAATTTCTTGGTGCTAAACTGCTATTACCTGGTGCCACCGACATCTCACCACCTTGTGTGTTGTCACGCTGTGGACTCTGCAATTGTAACGTCATGTTAAAAAAATGTTCTATTATTGGATACTCTTAAGTGACTCAATGATCTACCTTTACATGAATTTGATGTTTGAGCATGGCTGCTCTTAAGATTAACATGCGAGTACGTCTTTGATACTCCTTGCCTACGCTGATCGATTTCTCAAAGGTTGTGCTACGTTGATCCACATCTTTGGCATAAAGAATCTGAAACGCATGTGACTTTTATTGATGAACCATTAGCGTTTCCTTTTAATGACATATTAGGAAAGATCTTTAATCGAATTGTTTATGGCTTTAAGATAGTGGATTGTAGAATACTGGTACCTTATTGTGCGAATCGATGCGAGCTTGAATCTGTCCGTCGAGTATTAATTGCATTAGCTCGTCCTCCAGGGCCGAAACTGTTCTATTAAAGGCAGTCGCCATTCGTCGCATATCAGCGCTTAAATAGGGACTAAAATATTGGATCAAAGCTCTGTTTCGTATCTGTGTGTAAAGCAAATTAACGTGTGGCGCTATGTACATATCCAGGAGTATGTTGTCTTTTATTTCATCCAGCAATTTCAAGCAGGAAGCGTACTTAGATTCGTAGAACTTGAAGATAATATCTCTGAGCTGGGGTTCCAGTTCAAGAAATAATTTGAATGAGCTACTAAATATAACTTGTTTTTGCAATTCGTGTCTATCGAAAGTTGCCAGAGCACAAAGTCCACCGTACAAGGCAATATTCCCTGGCGAGAGAAGTTCTGGGCAGTCACAATGGTCTAAGGAAGCTTGTAAAAAATGCTTTGCAGCCATTTTGTATCTCTTTGTTGCCAACTTTGCTAATCCTGCTGCTACTTGGAGCTTTGTTATTATTGACTGATTGTTATCTTTGCCATGAACGTCTGGGAAGTCGGGCGTGCTTTCAGCTTTACTCACGTAGCAAAGTACGTGCGACCAGTTTTGAAGATACACAGAGACCTTTATTACATTAAGGCACATGTTAACTACGTGCTTGCCACTTGTGCAATAGTCACGGGCTCTTGAATAACATTTGAGAGCATTGCTCAGGTCGCCACAATCCAAATAGTGATCACCCAGATCATCGTGACCTCTCCTTATACTTTCTTTGATAGAATTGCTTTTATAGTTTTTCAAATCGGTGTCAAACTTCTCTAGTTTTAAAGCAGCTTTCTTAGATCGTGTTTCTACCCACATTTGATCTATAGTTGGTATGTCCTGAGATGTAGATTGAGCAGCAATATCTGGCAAGCCTGGGGTGCCAACAGTTTGCAATAGCTTTTTGTGTAGTATCTGATATAGTGATACATTGTATGTGGTCATCACATAAGTGATTGCCATTTTTAAGGCCTCCAATCTTAGCATTGGACAATGATCTGCTATATAAATAAGTCTATATAATTTAGCCAGCCCGTTGTAACTATTAGCATAGACCTCTAGGTCCTAGAAGAATAAACATATTTTTGAGATCACACTTAATAAATTGTAACGATAAGGTTTTAGATAAGTGATATTAAAAAATAAATATGTAAAACTTGGTACTCTAAAAATAATAATACTATATAATAGTACCAATCATGATTTTAATGAAAAATTTGTTCAAGAAGAAAAATAGAAATGTCCTAATAAAATCATCGTACCAATGTGGGATTCTCCACGATATACGGCTCTTCTTCAGTATTATCGTTATCCTCTGTAGGTGCATCGACTTGCATGGGCTCAACGGCATTTTGCTGTAAAAACGAAAACATTATGTTAAAGAACCAGCATGCAGCTTGAATAAAAGTGACCCTGTGATATAAAAAAGGAATAATCGCTAAATCTCATGAAGCGGGTCATCTGTCAAAACTAACCCCAATTTTTCTACAATTTCTCTAACCGTGTCCGACACAAAATAATTTCCAACGGTCGGATCGGTGAATTACCTGAAAGAGCATAACCTGAATCGGTAGCGGCATTTTCTGCGATCTCCTCTCTCCTCGATTGTTCGGAAAATTCACAGAAAAACAAATATTTTCACTCAAATTTTCACAATCGAGCTATTATATATCAGCGACACATATTGCCATCTTGGAAACGTTTAAGCACGTTAAGTCACTATAGCTATCGCCTGGCGCAGCACCTGCGGAGTGCAAATTTCGATTCTCTCTAATTCTCTCTAACAATTGGCATATTTATTTGTTTTTAGGGTCGGTTTACAATTATGCCGTGCAATTCGATTAAATCCGAAATAAGTGGATTTATATGTGAACTAATAAATAAATTGTACATAGTGTCATTCTTATTAACGAAAATTATTTAGGGTCGGAGCGCTATCCGACTTAAGAATACTTAAAAGTTAACCTGTTTGTGTAGGTATATTCATTTTTCCTTTTGATATTTGTTTTTCTTAGAAAATTAAACTTTCAATTTCTTCTCACGTTGTGATAATATATAACAGCTTATTATACACTGATAAAGTTACATAGGTAAGCCAAAGATGAGCAGACGTTTAATATGTTAAATACTTTAGCGCATAAATTAGTATATAACGTATAAATATTGAAAAGACAAGTTGTTATTTTCATTATAACAATTCTGAACTGAGTTCCTAGTTCGGTCTACATTCTCTTTCATTATTATTATTATTATTCTTTTTTGCTATTTCAGGTTTTACACTCCATAATGCCAGATAGTTCACCAATAACTCCTGGTACTTCAAAATCCAACGATATAAACGAAAAATGCAGACGTGGAAAGCGAGCATCAAGGAAAAAACATGTTGATAATGTATTTAAGAATGATGCTCTGGAACTCATTAGTACAAGAGAAAATGTCTGTGTTATTCCAAAAAAGGCAAAAATTTCTAAACCCTCGAAAGCTGCAGCTGCGTCATCAAAAAATTACAAAGATGCCCTGGAGCCTGTTATCATTGCAATGGAAAATGTCAGTGTTATTCCAAAAAAGACAAAATCTTGTAAATCAGCAAAAGCTCCAGCTGCATCATCGGCAGCTGGTATGGATGGTCCAGAGTTTCTTATGAATGTAACAAAAAATCTTAAAGTTAGTTCAAAGAAGACAATATATTTTAAACCATTGAAAGCTTCAACTGAATCATCAACCAACGGTAACAATACCCTGGAACATCTTATTAATGCAACAGAAGACTTTAATGTTATTTCAAGAAAGGCAAAATCTTTTAAGTCATCAAAAAGTACAGCTATAACATCAACAAATGATATAAAACCTTCCAATCACATTGTGTCTGGAGCAGTAAGCCCAAAAGTACATGCAGTAAAAGTTAAGAAATCTAAGAAGGCAGAGAAACAATTGGAACAAAAAATACCCAATGTTGTATCCACAGACTGCACTGATCATATACCACTACAGCAACTTCAGGAACATGTTATAGCTGTAAATAAGGTATGTATTAGAGACATCATCTGAAACAAGCATAACTATATAACTTTATATTAAATCTATTTAAGTCCAAATTTATATTATGTTAATGAGACCATTATATTATCAGTACAAACAGAAAGGGGCTATGGCGACAAGGAAGCATACTAGAGAAAAAATCAATAAATTTTTTAGTGAAGATATTAAGAGTAATAACCAGAAAAAACAGGAGATATCTGATAAAGAAAAAAATAGCTCTGAAGAAGTAGAAAATGTTAAAACAACCAGTTGTAGTAAAATGATAAAGAAAACGGAGACGAATGAACATCAAGCTAAAAGTTCAAAGAAAGTACGAAAGTCATTTGTAGATTATATATCACTCGAAGAGGCGCATAATATTTTACAGAAGCAACATGACGGAGAAGGCGAGTACATTGAAGGCAATATACGTATTAATCGTAGATTTTCGAATCATGCATATCTGGCAATAACAGACGGAGAACAGGATCTTTTAATTATTGGACTTCAAGATAGAAATCGTGCATTAGACGGAGATTTGGTTATCGCAAAGGTAAATCCAGAAGAAGAGTGGTATGCTTCTGAGGGAGATAAAAAGCAAAAAACTGGTGTCGTGGTGTACATTTTGGAAAAGGTGCATCCGAGAAAAGCTATTGGTTTCCTGAAGCCAACGTCTAATAAGGATAAATCAGCTTTAGTCTTTCAATCTCGTGATGTAAGATTTCCACTTTTGATAATCGACTCAAAAACATTACCTCCAAACTTCAAGAAGCATCCTGACGAGTTTGCAGAAGTTCTGTTCCTTGCTGAATTAACAAACTGGAAGAGTCTTCCATTTGCTAAAGGGTAAATAACAGTGTTTCATATTTATGACTTTGACACTTTAATTGTGGGATTCCGTTTTCTATTATAAGTTTGACACTTGTTTGCCACTCCACAGAAAAATTCTAACAATGGTGGGTAACGTAGGAGATTTGGAAGTAGAGACCAACGCCATATTACTTCAGAATGATTTGGATCCTTCACCTTATGACGAGTCATTAACAAAAGGACTACCATCTGGAGACTACGTACCAACTAGCGCCGATATCGAAAATCGGGAAGACTGGAGGGACAAATGTATATTTTCAATTGATCCTGCCACTGCCGTAGACTTGGATGATGCGCTTTCTTGCACACGTTTGAGCAACGGCAATTTTGAAGTAAAGATTTCATAATTTCTTCAAGCATCTCCTACTTCTTTATGTATCTATTAAACTCTTACTCCTTAGGACTGGAAATAGTTTCACTGGAGTAAGAGCTTATTAAAGCTACTCTAATTTCAGATAGGAATACATATTTCGGACGTGACGCATTTCTTAACAGCTTTTTCTTTTTCACCACTGGACGAAGCAGTCGCGAAACGTGCCACTACAATTTACCTAGCCAATACAACTTACCATATGTTACCAAAGAACTTGTGTCAAGCATGTTCTCTACTTCCTGGTGTAGACAGATTGGCATTCTCAGTTATATTAGAAATGACTCCGGAAGCGGAAGTGATAAAGCATCGTTTCGCTAAAGTAGTAATGAACTCATGTTGCCAAATGTCATACGAGCAAGCACAGGCGTTCATTGAAAATCCATTGAAGGATTGGTCGACAGATGAATCCTTGCTTATCAGTGGTAAATGGAAATCATCAGAAATTTGTGATACTGTAATTAATTTGTACAAGTTATCGCTGATATTGCGAAAAAAGAGATTTGACAACGGAGCCCTAAGAATCGATCAGCCAAAGATCCGTATTAATATAGATCGGACCACAGGTCTGCCGATATCATACGGTCTAGAGAAATTGCAAGATAGTAATCGGTACATTAATTTATATTATTCAATAATTACAACATATTTCATTAATCCTCTGTTATATACTTTGAACTAGTACACTTTCCAAAACTAAAACACTGTATCGAGTTATGTATTCTTTTGCTGTAGGCTTATCGAGGAATTCATGTTGCTGGCAAATATGACAGTTGCTACGCACCTATACAAAACCATACCAGAATATGCATTACTACGTAAGCACACACCACCACTGGGCCTAGTACTGCGAAGAATTCAGGAATCATTGCAGAAATTTGGAATTCACTTGGATATAGAAAGTGCTGGTAGTTTACAAGCCAGCTTGTCACGGTATGAGTGTAAGCCAGTATCTCAATCGAAGGAAGATCAATGTGTATCACAGTATCAGAGTATGGTACTTAATGCATTATGCGCCAGAGCAATGACAGTAAGAATTTAATTTATTATTAAAGAATAAAATAAATATTTGTAATATAAATACTACTCGTATCTCATAATTTCTATTATTCTCTCTAATTATCGTTATTCTTACTACTTTTAAGCCTGCCAAGTATAAGTGCTCATCCATGTTATCCAATGAAGAGACCTTATGCCATTATGCTTTAAATATTCCACTGTATACGCATTTTACATCACCCATTCGGAGATACGCTGATTGCATAGTGCACAGGTTATTATATTCGACGATTTCGAATGTTCCATTACCTGAAGCGTGGTCTGCTAAATTGTGTTCAAAGTAAGTCGAACTTAAATTCAGTAATATTTTTAATTATTTAATTGGCTTCCTATTCTTTGATCATGTTTTATTCTATTAATACTAATTGCATGTTCATGCAGGATCGCTGCTAATTGTAACAAACAGAAGACTAATGCAAAAAACGCACAAGATCAGAGTAACGAATTGTACTTTATATTTTTACTTGATTTAATGGGTCCGGTTAATACCATTGCGATAGTGATGGACGTAAAGGACCGTTGCGTTGATGTGCTCCTTTGTCAAATGGGTATGAAATTACGGATCTACTTTGCGGACATTAAAGAAGAAGTGAACGTTAAATATTCCGAGGAGTATTTCGTCCCAACAATAACACTCGAATGGAAGAATCATTCTATCGATCAGGTAATTGTTATCGTTTGAATTCTTTTTCTTGTCATTTTGAGAATCTCTACTGGATGACAAGATAATAATGTTCTAAATAGTAGTATTACATTTTTGCTATACAATACACGGATTTAATTGGCAATTATTTTTATATATTTCAGGTAATTAATATGTTTAGTATTATTCCCGTTCAAATTGAAAAACATCCATCTGCGTATCGATTATTTGGGATACCATTGCCTCCTGTACAAATTGAGTCATCCACGTAATGATAAGAGACAAGTCTGTGCGCGCAGTTTAGTATTATATGACTTTGAACAAGACGCGAAAAGATTAGCGCAAACAGTTTTCTCAATTGTTTTTATCATTTTCAAAACCGAAAAGCTTCGTGATTTTTATCTTGTGAAAAACAATTTACAATGAAGTTATTGGGTTGGCATGAAAGTAATGAGACATTCTAGAAAACTTGACACATGTCCTTTTTTAAATTGTTTTTGACCATATTTAAGTATGTTGTAGAACATTCTAGATACTTCCGCTCTGTGGGTATATAGAATAGAATATGGTCAAAAACAATTAATTCAAAAAAGGACATGTGTCGAGTTTTCTAGAGTGTCTCATTACTTTCATGCCAACCCAATATATAATATTTTGACAATGATTTACACTCGACTGTTAACAAGCTCTTAAAGGCGCTCGAAATATCTTACAGCGCGATGAAATTAAATTTTTTTTAATCTTCGGATTCTTTTTTAATTCATTTTATCTTTTTTATGCTGTTAATCAATCACGTCATGATTAATATAATACGTAACGCGCGTAAGTAATTGTGAGTAATGTTTCTGTAAAGAAACGTTGAAAAAATTTTACTACTGTTATTTTTTATTAAAAAAAAAAAAATAAGAACAGTTTGTCATTTACAGAACAAAAACAATCATGTGTACGCTTGGATTTAAAATATATGAAGATTTTTATTTCAAAACTCTTGTAACTATCCTCGTTTGTTCTTTATTGTAGAGAGGTTCTTACACATTTTTCTTTTTTCGAGACACACATTTATTCGAGTCGTCTCTTTTGTTTGTAGAATATAAGGAAACATTTAAAATACATCTTATCACCGTGAGATAATATGAATTATTAAATTTTCGTCTGAGAATTTCTAACAGCGGACTATGAAGTATTGATACAGATTTATTATAGAAAAATTTAATCGCATATAACTGCTTTTCTTAAAGATACTCTATGCGTACGTAATGTATCTATGTACAGGATGTTCAAATTAATAGTCAACACTACAGAGTGGATTCTCTGACAATCACTGAGTAAAAATATACAAACATGATTGCATAGATAAAACGAAATCCATTTTTGATACCTACCTGTATAATATATATTTGTGAACCTTTCATGATTGAGCTTCAAGATTATTAATCATATCATCCTCTGCGCTTTCTTAGACAAACAATAATCCAAATGTCCGGTCATTTTTAATTCAGTGACTATCAAAGCAATGTCGGTGCATCCTGTCTAGAGTATGGAGAATAATATTTTAAAATAAGACATTGCTTACAGATTGTTCCATCGACATAAATCCACTTTCAAAGTAGATGTCGTTTCTTTCCAATGGAATCACCCTGTATATATAATCTATAGCTGATTTCAATTACCTTTCCCGATCATTTACCGCCCACTATTTATCTCTATTACTTTTATGTGACAAAATTTACTCGCTGTTCAAGCCAAAATACAAGAGTTGATTATGAATATTCCTAAAAGAACAGAACGTTATAACATTTGGAACTTCCTAAAGCGTCTTTACGGACGAGGAAATCCGCGACTAAAAATCAACAGCTCAAGTAGTTTTTAACATATAGCACTTTTACATGAAGAATTTACTGAAAAATATACTTAAAGGTGTTCATTTAACTCTTGTTCTATAGTTAGTATGGTAGTTCAATAATAAATGTAATTGATAAATTAAATGAGCACCTCTGGTATTTGACGGTTTTAGTATATTTATTTAACAATGATCAAAATGTATATACTAGTGCAATACTCCAGTAAGAAATTAAAGATTCGATAAAAAGAATCATGGTCAAATTCATAAGCCCAGATGTGAGCACGAACACAATATAGTATTTCAATAGAACACATAAGTGTTAATTAAACTTTAGTATTGAATCAAAGTAACAAAGTTTTTATGCTTTTTCCAGAACCTTCACTTTTGTTTGAGGTTTATAATAACTTCATTCAAATACAAGATTTTTAAAATTCCTTCTCTTTTAGGTTTTAATCAAAGAGGAATTTCCATTAGACTGTTATGCAATACTGTTACAGTTAAAGTATTGAAATATAATAAGTTCTCTAAACCATAAAAGTATACTAGCAAGCCAGTATCGCATTGCCTCCTCAAGTATGAAAATAATTAACCAATTGGTTGCGCAACAAAGAAAATCATAATTTTGTTCCATCTTCATCCCTTCATGTGTTACCTGGGAAGAAATTTATTTCTAAGTTTCTATTTTCATCGATTCAGAGACACTGCCATAACAAGCTTTATCGCACTGACTTTATATCTCGGGAATCATCACTATTGTTCAGATTTATCAGTTACATTAGCGTTACACTAGGTATTCACTATAAATTTTTTATTACGCACACTAGGACTCGTACGTGGTAACGAAACTATTCCTAGAATCCACTTTTATAAGATAAGGTTAATGAGAGAGAAAAAAATCACCCAACAAGCATCTCAAAAAGATATTAGGATCACGAGTAATTTTTTATGAACCAATGGCCAAGAACCAAGTAACCAAGAATTACTGATTACACATTCTCTCTTCTAGGGTGCTAAGCGATACGTCTCACGTAAAAGTGATAGCGTTGGAAACCAAACAGTCTTTTCGATTTATTCGTTATCGCTTACATAAATATATTAAGATATTAAAAAGAAATTAAAGCACAGATTTCAAACATAACTTATTGATCGTCATAATAGAACAGTATCTCAAGATATAATAAGAATGTACATGAAGCTAACCTAGTTCGCCGTTCATTCTATTCTCATCGAAGGAGCGTGGCCAAGTAAAAGGTATTTCCTTTTGCTTTCTTCTCTGCATCAATTTTAACATCCGTATCGTTAGCTCGATCTCTGTGACTGTTGGTTTTGGGATTTATTGCGATGCTCATAATTAACCAGTCGCTGTCCCACGAGATACTTATCGTTCTTTATATGCTCGTAGAGCTTTTTGAATTGACGTATCTGGAAGCTAACGAGGACGCACACCAGGCTAACCAATAGTAGGAAAGGATAGAGGCGTCGCGCTATGAGAATCTGGGTCTGTAGATTTGTCACAACTAGTGGAACTATTCCATAGGCGATCGCGTAAGGAATTGCCAGAGCAAGTCCAAAGCAACAGATAACTGGTGCTGCTAATTCCGTCACGACAAATTTCAAGTCCATCTCCCTGATGCCATCATTGTAGGCCCGCTCGATCGCGAGACGAAGTCTCCATTCCGGACCCATCATTGTTACAGCTGTTGCTATTTTCGTGTACAGGACGCCGAGGGCCCAGTCTTGCCACACGAATAGTATTGGATTTTGTTCAAGAGGTACTCGCAAAGGCACTACTACGACTTGTTCCAGGAGCAAGCCAAATAGGAGCGGAATCACTCCGACGAGAAGGACAAAGGCGACTGAGGCTTTTACTCCCAGGATTGCCCAATGCTTTATTCTGTCCAGGACAGCTCGACGTCCACGTGGTAACCACGAGAAGGCTAGGGCTAGACCTCGCACGGCTGCCCAGCAAACGTAGGTACCGCAGGCTACTGTGTACACCTCGTGCACTCTTCCGGATAGGGTTACCACACTTTCGGTTCCATCTGGAAAGAGTAGTTTGTCTGAGTGGGGACGGTTATGAATCTATGCTTTTGTTGTAACTTAAAGATGATTCATGTTGATTGATCATGAATGAAACGTAACGCGTTGTACTCACCATTGCTGAAAAGTGTTGGTGGCAGCACCGGTGGCGATGGTGCTGGTGCTCCGACCATCCACAGTGCCATTACTCGGCGACCTAACCAAACTGGTAGGGTCATCGCGATCAGGCTAGCCACGACTAAAGATATGCATACGCAGAAGAGTAATCCTACTAATCTAGCAGGGAACCATCGTGGTCTTATATAAGGTTGAAAGTCTGTCTCTCTGCCCGCTTCTCTGTGCATGAGTGCTTGATGTGCAGCACCTAAGCCTGGATGTTGTGCTTCCTCAATGACTGCTGGACCTGGTTCGTCAGCTTGGTCTTTGAGGAGGTAGGATTGCAGATCTAATAACCATGCTACCACACGACACCAACCTCTAACCAGAGCTTTGAGCCAGGTGCGCGTGTGGGATTGCTCCAACAAAGCAGGAAGAATGACTTGGAGTAATAGAAGCTCAAGAGACAATTCGCTGACCTGTTTATATAATTCGAAGAGTGGGTGAAACAAATTTTTAATATAAAATGTGTTATGATTCACGCTATAAAAAAAAATCTTACCTGAGCTTCACTCTGTACAGTTACGGTGTAGGGTAGGAATCCTGGCCATGCCCATTTCAGTAGCCTTATCGGTAACCAGAGCATAAGAAGAATAGCTGTACCAAATATAACAGCGGAAGCGACGAGTCTTCTAGCGTGTCTCAAAATTGGCAAGTGTATCATCTCCTGAATCGGAGAGAAGTCCGGGTCGTTCAAGTTCCTCAGGAACCAGAGTACACCAGGTCTCAGAACCTCTCGTAAAAGTAGGATAAAAGAGGCGAAGTGATAGATGTACACCATTCCAACCAACCAATGAATAAACATGGATGTGCCTGGGGCAAATCTAAAGGAGGATTCTCTGTCTTTCAAAGTTGCGTCGAACATTGCCAAGGAACAAATGTCCAGCCACCATCCGCACACTAAAGGTAGTACTCCAATTTCGACAACGGATAACAGGGAGACTTTCACCACGACATAGCAAAGGCCTAGGATTCGTTGAGAACGTTGCTGACCCAGTAGCGCCGCCAGGGTATGAAGTACAACGAGGCATAAACCGATTACGCAGTAACCGCAGAGGGTAGTCACTAGGCCTTCAAAATGAGAGGCAGCTGCATGTTCTTGCATGCCTAATCCTGCTATTGCAAAGTGGCCGATGTGATATGGACAAAATGCAAACACCTGAGAACAGAGAAAGTTGGAATTTAATACAGAGATTTGAGCTTAATTTTACTGGTCGCTAGTATCGTTTGGTAAACTAACCATAATGAATAAAGTGTTTAATGAGATAACCCAGAAAACATGCTCCAGGAATACGAGTGAACCATCCAAACCAAGCAGACGTTCCCATGTTAATTCTTCAGCAGGTCGATCCCATTCCATTGGGTTCCAGTTAGCCTCTTCTGCTTCAACTTGTTCCTGAGGTTGGCCTCTCCAGCCTCCATCTGCAGCAGCATTTGGTTGGGCACCATCTATCCCAGGTTCATCCCTCGGTGGAAGAGGTTCATCTCCCCTTGGCATTCTGTCAGGCTCGCCAATATCCGCAGGTTCAGGTATATTAACCTCTCGTGGTTCATGAGCATCCATGTTGTTACCTGGCGCATAATTTTCATTCAAAATTATCATTGTGATACATTCATAATTGTCATTCAAAAAAAGGATTCAATTGTACTGCAAACGAAAATGCTACCTTCAACAATATATACAAGTGGCTGTGGAACTACAGGATCATCCACAAAATGTGGTACGTTGTTATTATTTGGAGCATCTGGTTGCTGAATTCCTTGTTGACCCTGAAATAAATTATTTGCTGGTAGTGGTTGTACATTGTCAGCAAAAGCTCCCCTTTCATCTTGTGGAAGGTCTTCTACAAATGGCGGTACATTGTTGTTATGCGGAGCTTCCGGATGTTGGATTCCTCGATGACCCTGAGCCTGTTGAGGCCGTCCATCGTTCTGGTTAAGATTATTGTCCGGTTGTAATTGTGCATTCCCAATATAAGGTCCTCTTTCTTCTCGTAACGGAACTTCTGGGAATAGTGGTATGTTGTTGTTATTTGGAGCTTCCGGTTGCTGGACTCCCTGTTGAGCCTGAACCTGTTGAGGTCGTCTGTCATCCTGGCGGGGATTATTAATTGGTTCCAATTGTACATTGCCACCGTAAGGTCCTCTTTCCTCTCGTGGAGGATCTTCTACGAATGGTGGTATGTTGTTGTTATCCTGAGCTTCTGGTTGTTGAATTGCTTGTTGGTTGTGGGCTTGCTGGGGTTGTCCACCAGGTTGAGGAGGATTGTCTACTGGTGGCAGCTGTACATTATCTCTTTCAAGCCAATCAGGACCACCCGCGTGTAAAATTTGTTCACGAAGCCAGACTAAGCCAATAAAAGCAAACAGAGTGCAGGTCACTACAAAACATCCATGGAAAACGTCGGAAGAAACGTTTTCTGTCGATAGCATCTCCATCGGCAGCGACATTATCTGCGATCAGAAAAACATGCTGTTGATCTTCTTGTACTTATTTCATACATAGTCATTTATGTTGTGTATTAAAACTATTATATTACCCGGACTAGATCGAGGGAACCACTGAACAGTGTTCGATAAGTACGACAGGCAGTTAATGGAACAACTCCAAGCCATGCAATGGCTACCAGGGTGTAGTGTAGCCAGTATTTCACTGCAGTGGCTATACTTGACAGCAAACCACCCACGACATCGCGCAATGGCAAGCGTCGAGGCATGTCTGGACTGTATATTGGAGTAAATGAAAACCGATAACCACACAGCTCGCAGTATTCCTTGCGCGAGTACCGCATCCATTGTACCAAGCACTCCTGATGTATCCATTTTATACTACCGGTACAAATGCAAGGATGGAACAGAGGTCTGTCAGCCAGACCCTCTGATCTACAGACCCTGCATATGTCTGCACCCAACATGTCCTCCGTCATGTTTGCGCCTTTTAAAGACAACTGTCACGTCAATTGTTTTCAATAGCAGATCAGCAATCCTAAAGATATTTAGAAACAACATGAAATCCTTGTAAACATAACGGCAAATGGTAAAACTGCAAAATAGGACTCTTCCCTGAAGGGTTACATGTAAAAAAAACTAAGAAATCTATAGCTAACTTCAAGAAGGAGTCGTATTCCATGGTTTAGCTGGAAAAATTCATCTAATATACAATGAAAAATGATTTAAATTGAATAACTTCCTGTACTCATATTACATTGACAATACATGAAATATGAAACTAGATTGTGCAACATGAAATCTAGGTAAGAATTCTATTTATCATTGGTATATAGGTCATTGTCATATAGATAGAAATGTAGATACAATGAAATATATTCAAATTATTACAGTTGACAGGAGACTGAAATATATTATTTAAATATGACAAAGCATTTATACAGTAATTATACAAGGCTAATTTTGATAATGATACAGCAAATGGAGTCATAATACAATAATTACAAGGTAACTATAGACCAATTATATTGAAAGCATTCAGTCACTTGCAATAGTAATTAATGTGTTTGTCAAATCACTGCAATGACGTTCTCAGATTGTAAATACATTTTACGTGTAAAAAATCAGGTTACCATCCAGGACAACAGAGTTTTCATTAAATGGCAAAAGTGCGTCGTCCCAAAACAAAATGATATTTCTAACGAGACTCGTAATTTAGAGCCAAATTAATGTGTATATGAGATCCATTAATATAATAAATATGAGTACTTACGTGTCTTCTCCTTAAAAATACATCAAAACGAAAACTGTTATGCAAAATATCGAAAAATATTCACTGCTACTTCCAGCTGTTTCTCTCTAGACATTTTGACAGGCTCGTCAATAGAGAAACATTAATGTCACCAGACTACTGGAAGAAGGAGAATAGAATTTTATTGATAGGCACGTTCAGCAGAAACACCGTTGAGGGAGCAAATTCGTTTGATTGGTCATTTGATCGTAAATCTTACAATAGTGGAGATTTGACCAATCAAATGTATTTGCTCCCTCAGCGGTGTTTCTGCTGAACATACCCAATTATTTCTGATCATTCCCAATTATTCCTTATTCGATTTCTGGTTATGGCTGTCCATGGCTAATTTAAAGAGCAAATTAAAATAAGTTATATTAAGAGTTTGACAACCTTGATAAAGATATAACAATGAAAGTACACAACTGATAATGCTCACAGTTTATATGAAATAAAGGCTAGCCCATATTTTATGATTTCTTTGTCCATAAATAATTGAATATTTCCTTTATTTTGTCCAAAATCTGTGACGCACTTCCTATTAAAGAATGCTATGAAATAAATCCACTAATTTTCATTTTTGTCGTGATGGAACATCTATCGAAATTCGAATCGTTCATATTCGCCAATGCGTGTGCCGGGCCTACAAATTTTAAAATCCGCATGGCAATTTGTTGAAACGTGTTTTATCTAATACGAGATAGGATTATTTGTATTTTTTTTAACATTCGCGTACCTTGTCCGTGGGGATACTGATAATAGTCTTTTTATTGCCTTCGTAAAGTGCTTATCATCCCAATAATGGGATCCGAGAGCGGAACTGTAAATTTTGAGGTTAAAAAAGCCAAAGCAAGAAAACGCACGAAAAAAAAGATCAAGATCGAAGAAGGTATGACTGAACAATGTGTTAAATTAAAGAAAAAGTTCTTATAGTGATATGCTTCTATATTAGATTAGTTATTACAATAACGATACTCCGTTATTGGTATTTAACGGATCTCATATTCTGATAGATTCTGCGCTAGGTGTTAATTCAAATGGTGCTGAAACTGCCGATAAATCTGGCCACGAATTTAAGATAGTGAAAGTAGAACAAGTGAAATCTGAGGAAATATCTAGTGTTTCACCATCGAATGGAGTCAGTAATCAATATACAGAGTTCAAAGATGATAGAAGGACAACAGGTAATGGCAAGAGAAAACAAAAGAATGATCAGAACTCAATTGAAAATGTCAACAATGGAAGTTTGATGAAGAAGATTAAGGGTTCTGGGTGAGTGCATTGATTTAATGTTTATCTACTTCTATTTGATTAAAATTGCATACTGTTATTATAATAACTATTGTAGAACATTAGTAAAGTCTAATGCATTTCTATTACAATTCTGGAAATGTGCATAGCAATCTTGTAAATGAAATCAAAGAAGAGATCGATCGAAATGATGAAGAAGTAATGGAAGGTGATAAAAAGAATGCCAAGAAACCGTCGAAACGGCAAGTTAAACGAGAAAAGGCTGAACAGAAAGAAATGGACAAAAGAGAAGCAAGTAGACTTGAAGTGATGCAGAAAGCCCTCAGCTATGTTTCGAAGGTATAATAGTTCACTAATTTTATATACTTATTCTTATAAGGATTCCAAACTCATATTGAATATATAATTGAATTTCAGTGGAAGCATGCAAAAAGTGAATGGAAATTTGAAAAGATCAGACAGATTTGGTTGATAGATCATTTACTGGATAAGAACTTGATTCCAGATGCAATATTTCCAACAGTTCTTGAATATTTCGAGGGATGTAAAGGAATGGCTCGAGAACTTTTACTGAAAAAGGGTATGGATGTAATTAAGAAGCTAGAAGATGAAGAAGACGATGAAACGAAGGACAGCATAATGGAATCTGTTGAGTATAAAAGAGCTAGGCAGCTATTACAAGCTTTACCTACGGAAACATAAGGGTCAAATTAAGGCATTAAGAAAATTCGCAGTCGTATCAGTGAAGGCAGTAGGAAGATCTACTACTGGTAGGAAGGCTTAATGACGCATCAAATCACTTTGAAATCATCAAATTTTATGCGGTTTTTTCTCATTACTACTTTAATCACGTGTGACATGTATGACATTCTACAAAGCCATACATTATCATTGGTATCTTAGAAGATTCTCTGATACTGATTTTCATTATTTATGTACATATGTACTGGAAATTTATGATCTATATCAAAGATATGCAAGTCGATGACAAAAAAATATAATGCAGTGTATTAAAGAAGAAATCCTTGTTATTCTTGTATACTTTTTTAATTCCATTGATTATACAATGAACAAAAATCTTTAAAATAAGATACAGGGTTTCTTTGCTTTAATAGCTTTAAGCTACAAAGAGACTACTGTTCCATTTCAATATGAAACTACGTACGTAATAACTTGAGGAAATTTATTAAAATAGCTTGAAGCATTTTCAAGCTGTTATCGAAGATACGCATGTCTGTTATTTGCCTTGTAAATTTTATACTGTTTGACATAAATAGAATGATTTACGGGATTCATTATGTTTTTGTCTTTTTACACGTGTTTATATTTAGTTTGTATAATTGATTGGTAATAATCATACACCTGTAAATATCTCAATAAAATTCGCCTGTACATTACAAATGAATATATTTATTTAGTTACATAATAACATCATCGTTGCAGATTACGTATAAATAATCTCTGTTTAACAGATTTTCACAAGGCTATAGCTTTAATTGCACAATATACACTACGTTAAAGTATCTACTGCTCCATAGTACAACTTTGATTATACCTATTTTATTTTCATACTGCTAATAAATTCAATTATAAAGTTACTGTGATTACTTAGAATTTCCAAGTTATTATTGCTCAGCGTATTTGTTAACAAACTGCCGAAGTTTATCCGTATCTTGAAGACCAACTATTCTCTCTAAGACTTTACCATCCTTCATGGCGATAAGAACAGGAACGGATCCTACCTACAATGTAAATATAATTTTATAATTCAAGCAGCTTAGTTTAAAGATACGAGCATCAAAACATCCATACATAACAGCTGTTTATGAACATGGCTTGTTAGGTGATCGTTTCAAGAAAACAATCAAGAGATAAAAAGATATAAACAAGAAATGTACATACCTCATAATCTAAGGCAAGATCTGTATTCTCATCGATGTCAACCTTAGCCAGGAGAATTTTACCTTGCTTCTCAGCAATGACTGACTCTAAACGTGGTGTTAACATACGACACGGATTGCACCATCTAAATGAATGAAAAAAAATCTTATGAATAACACGACAATACTGATAAAGCCTTCCAGAATCATGTCGTCATATAGTCAACCAAATATATGAATATAATATAATGAAAATAATGTAGAAAATAACACTGATTAACTTACGTAGCGAAAAAGTCAACGATTACAGGCACTTTAGAGTTTTTAACACGTTCGTTAAAATCTTTGTTATCCTGAACTTTAAAGGCTGCCGATACCGCAGCTTCCTGAGCCGGAGCATTGGCGAAATTTCGACTAACTAAGGTATTACGTACGGCTCGTGCTCCAATACGCAACATCTTGACAGTTATTGAGCAAATAATAATAGAAAACAATAATTATTAAAAATCAAAAGAAGCAACCTCTATTTGTACAAAATTATAAATAAGACCAGCACGATTACAGAATTTCAGTCTGCTAGTAGTAATTCCGTCAGCTATAATTCGTCAAAGTAGCCAACAGCTACGTTTCCTTGTCAAGAGGGAAAAATTCCCTAGAAGTTCTTCTTTACCGACTACTACTGCAGCCCTCATGTTACAGTCGATAAAAACGACTATCGATAACTAAAGTTGTAAATTTTAATACTTCATTCTAAGTTCATATTTGTTGTTCTAGATGGAGCCGTATACAATCGAATTTTGTCTTATATGTAACGTTATTTTCTACTTCGGTGAGATAATCTCGTCGATGATCGATACTTCAAAAGATTTATGTACTCCGTGCTAAAGTATTTAACATTCATTCCGCACAAGTACAACATATGCGCCAAATGCGCACATAACATTACTTGTTTAGGATAACCAAGTGTAAAATAAAAAGCACAGGTAACGTCCTTCCACCTCTTTTCCACTTGTTCTTAAAGGAGAACTTTTCATACTCGTACGACTTTCAGCAGTGGAAAAAACCAGGACGTGTATAATCGAATTAGAAAAATCGATGCCACGTAATATATAGGGTTAAACAATTAAAGAATGTCAAGAATTCCACCGTGCTGCAAAATAAATATGTCGGAATTTTCAATTCTGTCACGTAATTTCGCAATTTAATTTTCTAGAATCCCTATCAATGTATACATTACTATATACTTTTAAAAGTAATTCCTGAACAGAATTTAATCATATATTTCTTCGAGCACGTCATCCGAACACAGATTAAGAAGTGTCGCTGTTCACGTTTTTGTATTAATTAAAAAATTTTAATTACACATAATTTAATTCCGTCAACGGCTATATACATATAATATCTAAGAAAAAGTACATTTTTATTTTTAGCATAATCAGATGGTAAATTCACGTAAGCATAATATTGCGTAATCCTAAATATTTCTTTACTGTTTTTTATACACAAACGTGATCTTCAAGTCATTTGATTAGAGGTAACTGACCTTAGTAGACGTACGCAAATCATAGCCATTGATTATACATCATGACATCATGCCACATTAAAAACAACTAACATATTAATTAATTGTTAATCCCAAAATGTCGGGTAAGTAAAAGCAATAATATAACTGTTGTTTTTACAATAAAAAATGGACTTACCCCCCGTAGAATTACGTCAGTGTGTAAACAAATAGAATATGTTTTTTAATTACTATATTTGTCAAATTCAAAGCAGAAGGAGACAGACACATAAACCTTATTCAGAGAAGACTCTGCATTAGCCAATGTCTGCTATACTTTGTTAATAATCTTTTATTACAATTACAGGATGTATAAAGGTGAAAGAGACAGGAGATGAGAAATAAAGAAACTAATCAAAGTGAAGGCTTATGCAACTACAATAAGTAATGAATACGAATGCAATAAGAATCCCTCTGTCCTATCGCTCATAAGGCCTTGACAAAAAAACTTTCAACTCCTGACGTCACCGTGAAACATACTGGACGCACGGTAACTGTCATGCAAATATACACTGCTTACAATTTACATTAGAGTCATTCAAGCGACTTAGAATCATCGCTACAGTCACTTAGTATTAATAACAATAATCGCCCTGTAGTAAATTGGCAATCCGTTCCTCACGATTATTAACAAGTATCGTCGAAATGTCCTTGAATAATATGACACATGTTATTTAGCTTTGTTAAAGCAAACCTGGCGGTTGGCATGCGAAAACAAGAAAGGAGCGACGCAGCACTCTGGACAAATTAGTTTCATACTGCATATCTATCTTAGAAAAATACAATTAATGTACCGAGCAACTAATTTGCACCATCGTTTTTCAAAAACCAATCAAATATTAAATCAATCAGTTCTTTCACAAATCAGTTAGTGAATTTCTGAGCATAACTAATATTTCATAATCATACGTCATTAGTTCTTGACTAACTATGATTTTCAATTACAAAGTAGTCCCCTTCTGATCCGATCTGTCTCTTTTTAAAAACAAGCGCATTTTACAAAATCAGCCACTTTAATTCAAAATCGAAAATAGCATCTTTCTATATTGACCAATCTGTTCACTAACAAGATGTTAGTTGCTCAAATAATGTATATCTTTTTGAGTCGGACAACCCTTTATCAACCCACAAGGAAAGTACCCCAGGTGTCCCCTTTCGATTTTGTTCGTTTCGGGTGTAATCAACCCCCAAAGTTGGCCTCCTTGAGGGTGGTTTTCACAGTTTCGCATACTTCTGCAAGGGAAATTACCTCTCGCCGTATCAATTGAAAAATTGCATTTTGACAGTATCTGGCATTGTGAATTTCAAACTTTAATGTTCAAATTCGGTTTGAGCGACCTCCAAAACCTTTAGGATTAAGAAGATCTGAAGACCTCGCGAGCGTACGAGGAATCCCGCCAGAAGGGCGTCAGAAAACAAATTGAAGCAGGATAGTGCCACTGTAATGAGAAATTGGTTGCACTGGCATAGGGGTAGTTCACGTGTTGAAAACGCAAAAACATGTATCTCCTACTTTTTTAGAACTTTAAAATGCAATTGATTTCTTCAAAATCTAATCAGTAGTTGTTTTTTGTTATAAAAATATCGGACTTTTCAACTCCTATAAATTTTAATGCATTCAACCCACCAGAACCGACCGAAAGGCAGTTTTCATTATTCACCATGAGGATTATCTTTGAATTGGTACATTTAAATATTTCGACTGGATCTGTGAGAGCCGAAAAAAAGACACGTGCTCAGATTTTGATGGAGAATAACGTATTTCAATAAAAACGAAATCGGAGTGGAACACCCGAGGTATCTTCTTTGTCAGTCACCCTAGAGTATTTTCAGAGTTTAATTCAATATTTTTTTCATTTTGTAAGAAATTTGTATTCATGTGGTTTTTTTTTAGAAAGGGATGCCTATACATGGTCTAACGATGGCCAGTGGCTACAATACATATTATACGTACTGGATCTAAAGCTGTAGCGTATTTTGCTTTGTAGCAATGCATGCGCGACTAGTAGATACAAGTTGGGTCCTACGTAAGAGCCATTCGTAAAACAAAGCACGTACAAGGCACGATGAATCACGTACGGAAAGTAATATTTTATTTGTTTCTCTCTCTCCCTCTCTCCTTTTCTCTCTAACTTTGATATATGTACAAAGGACTTTCAATGGTGTCAATTATGGTCCTATTTCTTGATCTGCTTACATTGTCGTTTCAGATTTTATTCCAAGTGGCAGCAGCAATAGTCGCCATATCGTTTTCCTGCAAGACTGCTAAAGACTGCCATACCGTCCATGAGAAACATTTTGTAGGTTATGACTCACCCAGCTGAAAATTTAGTACGTAATAATCGATTGAATCATTCTATATTATAATCATAAATGAATTAATCTTTGACAGAGAAAAACAAGATGAATATAAAAAGTATTTTATAGTTTTGTCGTATGACAAACTATACCCTGTTTAAAAATTCTTATTAGAATCAATACAAACCAATAGATATCCGATTCAATTACAATCAGAATTAATAAGTTATCGTGTCCAATATGATTTTATTTGTGATTACCTCAGAAACAATAAATTCTTAATTGAAGTCAATGAGAATCCCATTTCATTTTCAGTAGTAAAATCTATAAGGTTTTATAAGAAATTTCCGACACACAAATCTGATTTATTCCGTTTTCAAGTTGTTTTAATACATTTCTTAAGCAGCTTGGGTAACAGGTATAAAGGTGAACTGCAAAGATCTAGCCGCCAAAGAGGATTTAAAAACGTCCAATGTTCCTATCTGACATTTTAAACATTCATGAATCTCTTTATATTGCTTACATATAATTTATATTAATATGCTAAAAGCTTATGGCGTCGTTTCACTCTTATATGTGACATAATGTTTTTTTAAGGTCAAAAATTCGTTTAAGTTTCGCAGGATGGCGTGTATGAGTTTTATCATCGTTATTTATTATCTATTTTTTGAGTCGTCCAAAAATAGAGTGTATCCCATCGTTAACGAACCATCTACAGAGGATCATTGTCCAGTATCTAACCAAACTCCTAGCACTGTATTACCTCAACACTGACCTCAAAATTCTTCCCGTTTCGTCACTATTAATACAAGCAGATTGAAACGTTTTCATTGGAATCAAATCAACAGATCTACAAGGGAAATGCCCAGAATGCTAGAATTTAGTTGAAAGCATTGTATATCTATATAATAAAAGGTCAGTATGCCATCACACGTGAATCGAGGAGACATTAACAGTCAAAACCTTTAATCATTTTATTTATCCTTCTCTATACAGAAAATTATTCTATCCATGTATCACACGAGGACTTCCTGCAGTAACGACCTCCGCATTGGACGAAATGGCCTCCACGAATAAAGCCTCAGTTAATACAAGAATAACTAATGCTATTTGTCTGAACAACAATCTTATTCAAGTATCTAAGACTATACTGGTACTACCATACATCTGGTACATCTTCATTACTACTATATAAACTGTAAACTAATATTGCTGGCAAGTCTGAGCTAAACGTACATTGAGAGGCTTGTAGCATTTATATTCGTCAATGCCTCGTACTTGTTGTGCGATTCTTAAATAGACATTATATTACAATTCATATGCGTAATGCGTGACAATTTGATACGTAACATCTTTTACTCATGGTTTCTAAGCAATAATACACTTTTTAGAAATAATTTTAAAGTTTGCGCGACTCGACTGCTGAAATGTACCACGTATATTTTTAACTTTGGCAAGATATCGCGTGACAAATGCAAAAACGCTTATGGTACCTAAAAATCCCACGTCTATTCGCAATTTTGCCTTTAGTCGGGCGATGTATGATATACATAGAATAATTATTGTATTACATCACTGTCACTTAATTAGTTTGAGTATAAATTTATAAGATTCATTATAACACATCGTATACTGTCATGAATATTTATTGCTTATGGTTTATGCTTAATGGTCGATGAATATTATCGATGCTAAACGTGTGGTAATATCATAACGTTATACACCCTACCGCACATTGCATTCGCATGATGCACGATATAACGGCCTAATTGCTAAATTAAGTCCTACGGAGTACATATGTAACAAATTCTTCTACTAAAGCCATAAGTGGACATGTAACATAAATGCTGTATAAAATAGAATGCTTTGAAACTTGTAATCCTCGTAGCACATGGAGTCACGTTACGCAACGGTAGATGTTGACAGATAATTTTTTTACTTTATACATTTTTCAGAAACGCTCATGTACGTGGACGATGAGTTTTCTTACGTTTTAATCCACCGGATGCATAGGATGACTGGAAGATTTTATTGCAGAATATAAGCCACATGTTAAATTCTCCATGAAATGCTGGCAGTTATCTTCATTGGAATTTCGTAATGGTTAGCCTACATCGTCGTTCAAGAATCATGAGTAAGAACCCAATAGAAAAGATACAGCTTCTTTATAATTTTCATCGGCATCGAGATAATGGTAATGGATCTTTTTTCTTTCCTTCCACAGCACGAAGGACACGGATTTCTTGATTCAAAGAGAAGAAACCGAAGCGACGTGCTGGACGTTTCCCGTTCATCCAGTTGAAGAAATATGATGAATTTTTATGAATCTTTATGGACGTTGACGTAATTTGTTTTTGTTGTACGAACTTGATGTTTCCTGTAACAACAATGTAATTTTAGAAATTATTGTTTTTCAGTGTATTATAATACGTATTGGATATGTTGGACTTTGAAGTCCGTAGAATATAGTGCCTGAAAATATTTATACCGACAATTTGTCCGCTTCAAGGTCAGTGGGGTTCCTATTCTCGTGTACTCGGATGCCTACCAGATGAAATCTCAACACGATGGTTACCATAACGACCAACGGTCGCCGTTCATTATTTTTCCTGATCACAGGTTAGCTGAGGCATAACCAAATCCTATTCACATGCCCATGACCCATTTCTTTTACGTCACTCGTAATGCACCCTACAGCGACAAGTCGATCGCACCCCATGAAACATTGGGTTACTTTGGATCCTTCTAAAAAAAAGCAATGTACATCCATTAAGGTTTCAATCTATAAAAAAGCATAGAGGTATTGATACAAAATTAGAAATCAAATTATAACTAGAATTAGAGTACAGTTGTAGCTTATAAAATTCTAATCTAATTTAATTGTCTGATAATTATAGATTGAAAGAATGATGGCTATACAATTATTTCAAAATAGTGTTCTCTGCGTGGTTATTATGGATTACATTTTTTTTTAATCTGATGTATACTACCACATCACGTCAGTAACTTCAGGTATAGCCGGACGGACATCTAGTGTATCTACGACGTAACACCTAGTGGAAATCAGTCACGTGATATACCATGGCAGAGTAGATGCTGGCGTGGGCGAGCGCAAACATACCGTCACCTTCACACCGAGTTTGCTAACAATATTATGACAGGATCTCTCCTCTCTTATATCAAATGTTCGATGCTGCGACCTAATTATATCATCCACACGACAGCAGAGACAAAAGTAGTTTTGTAGCTTTCATAGCGCTTTAAGAAAAAAAGAATGAATCCTTAATTGAAACTGGTAAGAGATTTCAATTGGTAGCTTAACTAGACTGTATCTGATGCCACAGACCTCAGTAATAATCTGCAAAATAATACAGAGATAGGAAATCATTTTTTATATTTTACAATTGTTCATAGAAACTTTATGAACTAAATAGAATAATGCTATCAACTTCGCTATTGCTGTTCCCTGCTGGTAATTTCTAAGACGCTTCAAAGCGTAGATGCCGTGACTGTGAGACGATTTGAATTATGCATCGCTATTTGATTTTGCTGGAAGAGATTTTATACTTAACTATGATGAGCATTCTAGCCTATTTATTACACGTGTAAATGCGCCTCACGCCATGAGTTAAAATAAGGAAAATGTTTAGTAAACATAGTCATATCGTGATGCCAAGGAACACGTTATACAAAACAACTAAGAGCTCAAAGTTTCGTTTGAATGGAGGATAAAAACGGCAGTCGTATCCCGATTCTTCTGGAACGTTCCAATGGAAAGGGGACAAAGACTCTCATGCGTTCACAGGCATGGACATATGTATGTATAATCTTCCACAAAGGGAACAAAGCTGAATAAGGACAATAGCTGGCCGTTTTATTTATCCATTTGTAAAGGTCCTCTCGTGAATAGATCTTAACGGTCTTTTGGACAACCCGATAAAGGGTTTCTTAACAGATGACAACCTATAGTTCTAATTATTATATCAAACTTTTAAACCTTGAGTATAGTCTAGTATAGAGTAGTATAGTCATTATCATTAGTTCATTCAAATTAGACCTACGTTCTGTGTGAGATGTGGAAAACTTGCTTCAAATTTTTTGTGCTAAATTCTTTACTTGACTGTACTAAATAGGCATATATATACAGCAAAAATATCAGACTAATATGTTTCTTCCTTAATAAATTCGAGTGGGATTAATCGTAGAAGTTTGAGTTTATCAAAAGGATATAGACGCTATTGACCTAGCTAATAAAAACGAACGTACAATCCATTAGGTATCACGATAAAGATTGGCATTTGACTAGCTGAGTCCATCCAATTTCAATGATTCGATGACCAACGTAGTCTTCCACTGTCTGTCTTATAGTTGTAGTCCACTTTTTACACTCTTGCTCTTCGTTCTATTTTGCTATTTCTCACTTTTAGCTGTCCTCTTTTCCTTTATCTCCTTTCTTCACCTCGCGCTTCTCGCCATGACGCTTCTATTTCGGGAGATGATGCCGTTTAGTAGGCCAGTGGGAAACGGAAAGTAGAGGCGCGGTCTTTGCCTATATACCGAACACATTTGGAGGTTATATTGTCAGGACTCACCCTTCGGTTCGTCCCTTATCCTACCCGATAATGTGAATGTATCTACACGTGCGTCCTACTTCCACAGAGAAGAACAAAAACCTTTTCTCATAGTCAAATTGCTGACCACACAAGATTTTACAAGGTAAATATTACAGATTGTCCTATTGGATTCCTTATTGGCCTTAGCCTGTTCTATTGTCTGTATAAAGGTGGCAGGGAATCGTTCTGATTGGAGGGTTGGCTCTGAATTTATGAACTGTCAGAGAGTAAAGGGTTCGTGACTCTAACAACATAAAGTGATCGATGGAACTCTGGAGGACGAAAAACGTCGTTACCGACTGACGCGAATCACCGCGCACTCTTATTTCGAATGCTTTCGAAATCCCTAAACGTAGCTCAACCTCTTTTAAACACACGGTTCGTCCACTCTTAGCGAGTTTCAACTATGGCTCGTGACTCTAACATAAAAAGTGATCGATGGAACTCTGGAGAACGAGGAACATCGTTAATGACTGACGCGAATCACGGCGCATTGTTATTTCGAATGTTTTCGAAATCCATAAACGCAGCTCAACCTCTTTTAAACGCACGGTTCGTCTACTCTTAACGATTTTCGACTATGGTGAGTGATATAGATTTTCTCCTCGTTCTCTCAGTCACTTTTGCTATCACAAGAAATAGTTTTCACTTTCTTAAACTCGCTTATACCAAGCTTACTGATTCATTGTCAATATTTTATAACTGCACTCCTTGTATAATCCTCATCGAATTGACAGCGCTCTCCTCGACCTACATCATCAGAAGATATCAGACTCTGTATACCCAGAAGTCCCAGTAAAAATCTACACGCAAAACAAATTATCGCTCCAATAGTTTTATTTATAAATTGTTAAAATCTCATTTCATTAGTAACAGGCAACGCATCCTTGCATAGAATTATTTTCAAACGCAATAGATTAATCAAGATTTTGAATATACAATTAAACTGTACACCAAAGAATACAACACTGTCAGCTTATTCCTTATGATTAATAGTGATAATTCAATGGCTCCGTTACGTTTGCATTCCTCCTGACAAAACTGTCAAAGTAATCCCCACGTCCTAAATCTGGAGAACAGTAAGTTTGTTGTATCCTGGCTCATTTATGGCAGTCGTCGTTCCTCATCGTTAATCAGGTGTCGCGCGCGCGTGCACAGTAAACCGTATCTCTAGCATGTATGTACTACATATATGTATGTATACCTATACACAGTGGTACCAACGCCCATGAGAATAAATTTGGTCAAGCAAATCTTTTTTTCAACTATTTTTAGACACAGGTAAGATTCTTAATTCTATACTAATACCAGACCCAGACGATATTGTCGTTGAGCATTGTAATTCACGTATCCTTGCTGTTAGGTTCTTAATAATAAATTCGTAGTCGGGGAGCACATGATACGTGCAAGAATGTCAACTGCGAGTAATGCTAATAGGTAAAGGCCTGCGAATGATGGCCTCACTTAATATAGATAATTAACGTATACACTGGAATTTCACGTTTTACAGCGTAACCTTCCTGGAAACACATAGCACACAATACACAGCATATGACGCCTGTCTATAGTATGTTTTAAAAGTCACAATATTACAGAATTTCAAGGCTCACAATGTATACCATCTCTATTGAATGTTTCCTTTATATCGTAGATTTATGTGGATGTAACATCGAATGCGTTTATCAAGTATCAGTATATCCTGTACGTTTAGGTCTATATAGGTAGATATTACGTCGAACCAATTATAGTTAAATTTATTAGCATTCGTAACCGTTAGTTTAGAGGCGTGCTAGGCGTAAATTAGAGTATTAGTTATTAAGAATTCGTTAACCTAACCTAGATCATTTTTGTGAGCATTTAAAAACTTTGGTTTAATATTTAAGTATAACGTCCAGTACTTCGATAGAAAATATGCCTATAATCAGGTGAATGCGTATTTAGGTTACTGTACTTCGTAGGTACAGCCTCGTGGTTAAGTTTACTGTGTAAGCTTCTACTGTACATACAGGTATACTGTATTATATTATAAATGTATGCAGAATCCAAAGATTTACTATCTACAACATTGAATCTTTCACGGGATTACGTGACCGATTTGATGTACTCTGAAAAAAGTTGTAAAAGACAATTCCACATACGCGATTTGAAAAAGCAATGTGTCATGGAGGCTAATTCGAACGGAACTGTGGTCTTGTTAAAGCGCTGCTCAACTTCCTCGGACGTGTCCGAGTCAGTTTTTCACCCAACTCCTCTGGAACAACATCCGTCCTCGTTCCATTTAGGTCAACCAATTCATGTCAAGTCTTCCATCGCGATCAGAGTGGACGGGAAAATCGATTGGGACCAACAAAAAATTCTCTTGTCTTCCTGTTTACCGTTCTATTTTTGTGGTATCAATGCCTAAGAAAAAGGGCAGGTCGATCTTGATACAATACATCCATTAGTTTCCTTTATTGCAGTAATTCAAGTACATCTTAAGTACAAAATAGAATACACTAATATTCACTGCATCGTTACATTGACATAACCTAAAACCATAAGGTCGTTTGGTAATAATTAAAAATGGTCCACGCAGTATATTGCGGATACCATTCACATTGGTGTGACAGCAGTAAATCATGCAGTTTCCTGGAATGTTTATTTGTACAGAGGCTGCACGTAGGAAGAATGTGAGTCTGGATTAAAAAATTCGTGAATTTTCAAAATTGTCAGCTGTCGCCACCACTGGAACAAAAAAAGACTAAATAGCAGCGACTGCGACAATTACGACATTCATCATAGTTTATTTTTCTTGGACGCGCTATAACGTTAAAATAACACCCGCTGTATTGTTTCTACAGAAAAACATTTAATCACGCCATTAGGAAATACTCGTGTCTCTCTTCAATGTTTGATATTAATTTTATGTTAATCCTTTATATGTAATCTGGTATAACCGGATTAAGAAAACGCATTTAATCAGAGTATGAATAATACATCACGAGCTGTTATTTTCGTTACGAGACGAGACTGGGCAATGAAATACCGGTTACCTGAGAATGGATGATTAACGAAACTTGATTAACCTTGATCGATCCATTGGAATGAATAAAACGGTCGGCTACGTAGAACCCTACTGTACTTACGTACTGTGGGAAAAATATAAAAGCTTTGAATCTCTTGAAAAAACTGGGCCATTGGTCCATTTTCAAATGCAGAATCACATCTTGCCACGCGCTCTCCTGTCTATTTGTGTAACTCCATGCATCTTTGTTTCTTTCTCGCTCCTCTTACCTCTTTCTTCTCTTACCCTTCGTCCTTCCACGTCACCAATTTTGATAACCCGAGTACACCCAAGTGCTTTCAAAGAGGCAGAAAGCTTTCAGCAAGAAACGTGATCGTTATTTGTAGGTAAGATGGTACAAGCAACGAGAGTCGAAAACAATCAGATAGGCCTTGAACAAGAAAATAGAAAATTCTTGAGTAACAGAAAAAAATTGTCTAAGGCAGACTTGCTTCCAATCAAGTCACAAATATGAAAGCTTAGAAGTTACTGCTGAATTGAAGTCTCAAAGAAATTTGAAGCCAACACAGTCAACGCACTTCATTAGCCATTTGCATAGTACAGTTGCAATGATAAAGACGGTCAAGCCTGTAAACTCGGTTAAGTAACGAAGATCGTCTAATATAAGAGACACGAGACAGTGACGAGGGAGGTCGAAAGAGGGTGGAGAATTGTTTGGTGGTAGGGAGAAGAGGAGGAATCGGTCAAGATCGGATAGTGATACTGTGTTAGAGTGGTGGGGTAAAATCATAGGAAGCGGGAGGGAGAAGGAAACGCAGTCCCTCAGATGGAGAAAGGGATGGAGGGAACGCAAGTCTCGGCTTTCAGCTACGCGAACGCTTCTCCGTCAGTCAATTCGCAAACGTCCAACGAGATGGACCTAAACTCAAAGATACTAAGGAACTGAACACCGCTGGTGACAAGTTAAATAACAATTGGCACTGGGACACTTCCGGGAGACACATTGCACGGGACAGGAATAGCATCGGTGGAATTATTAGGTTCGGACTGACGAACTGGTACTGCTGTTCTCGGTTGAGAAGATTAAGAACCGACGAGTTGAGGAACTGGTTAAAAAAAGTTGTTCATTATCAGAGACAATAAATTGTGGAGGATAGAAAAAAAATTAAATTTGAAGATCAGTGACCGAGGGAACTTACTCTGAAGTTTTATTAATACTGTATAAAGATGTTGAAGTTAGTAACGATATTCGTGGTCCTTGTGGCTGCTACGTTGGCGGTTCACGACAAGTTTCGTGTTGAATTCCAATGGAAATACATAAACGTGACATGGCCATCGGAAGACGCGCGACTGGCGGCCCTGCAAAATGAAGAATATATACCAGAAAATAATGCCATTGCTGGTATTAAATTATGGAAACATAGGATGTACCTGACAGTACCAAGATGGAAAAACGGTGTTCCTGTGACATTAGGAGTGACATCGGCTACACCACAGAATAACGTAACAGCACCGAATCTTGAACCTTATCCCAATTGGGAGATGCAAAAGGTTGGAAATTGCAAAGCATTCCAATTCGTTCAGAGTATGGAGATTGATCCTAAGGGTAGAATGTGGGTTCTGGACACTGGACGTACAGCTACCATGACTTTGGAGGCTAAAGCTCGTTGTACACCACGTTTGGTTATCCTGGATCTTGAGAACGATGGAAAGGTATTACGTAGTTACGAATTCCCCGAGAATGTCGCACCCAAAGAATCTGCTTACCTGAACGATATCGTCCTGGACCATCGTGAGGGTGGTATAGCTTACATTACAGACAACGGTAAGGAAGATCCTGGTATTATTATCTACTTCCTCCAGAACAATACCTCCTGGAAATTCCGCCATGAGTCCACCAATGCTGAGCCTGAGTTCACAGGTTTTATGGTAGCTAACACCCGGGTCACCGAAAGTGTCCACGTAGATGGCATTGCACTGTCTCCAGCTAGCGCGAGTGATAGACTTGTTTATTACACACCGTTGTCATCCCTCCACTTTTATTCTGTACCTACCTCAGTCCTCATCAATAGGACAGAGACCGCCGGAGACTATGTACGCGAATTGGGTCGCAGGACTTCCCAGACTGACGGCATCGCCATGTCTGCGACTGGTGTCCTTTATTATGGCCTGATCGCTGACGACGCCATAGCAGCCTGGGACACTAAGCAGTCAGATGCACTCATGCAAACAGTCATTTCTCGTGATCACAGACTCACCCAATGGCCAGATACATTCGCCTTCGACGAAGAGGGTTACCTCTGGTGCGTCACAAATTCCCTGCAAAATTTCATTAACAACAAGGTTAATATCAGTGTGCCGAATTACCGCATCATCAAGAGCCAAAACGGGGGTCTGAAGAGTTATCAGTACTTTGAGAATGGCACTGCACCGGAACTCCCATATATCGCAGCTGGTGCAAGCCAAATTACCTTCGCCTTTGCCAGCTGTCTCACCATACTCCTCGTCAGTATTATTCAGTAATACTAATATCACCAGGTTGTCCGAATCTCGAGGAATGCCTCGTCCACGTCGAAGCTGGATAATCCTGATACTCACGAACAATGCCGGAGTCAACGGGCACGTGCACGTGTTATTAATCGTATCGATTCAGAATATCTTTACAATGCTGTCTTTCCGTGTTTCCTAACCTCTTCCGGTGACTTATTTCGAACCTCACTCACTGTTAGTGCGTCTTCTTTAACTTGGGTAAAAGGCATAACGAGTATAATTATTTTTCCTGGTGAAGTTTCTCTTAGTATCTATAACAACGTTGCTCCGCAAGGACGATCGGTAAATTATTCATTTCCTAAGTCACTTTTGTTATAAAGACTTAAAACAAATTTCCGTACATTCGCACCTTAACCACGCAATCCTTTTGTGATATCCCAATTATCCTCGGTACAAGTTGACAATAATTCCAGTGAGTTTTTATCATTTGCAAAGTACTCACGAGAAAGAGAAAGAGAAAGAAAAAAAAGACAAGCATCTAGCGCATGGTTGACGTAGAAGGTCCAACAACGAAATCCTGTTCTTTAATGTTTCCCCTATATTTCCTTGGCTTTCTATTTTACCTATAAGCCAAAGAAGTGTCACTCTCCTTGTATCGATTAATATCAGACGTCTCTTGACATTCGATACGCATAATAGGTACAAGTGCACGGGTCAGTGATCGCTCCGGTGAGAAAAAACATAAGATAGAAGACGAACTTATAAGCGCAAAACCAGCTATTTATTTGAAAGCACGTTCATGCACTCTTATATAACTATAGTCTGCGTTACGAATAAAAATTAAGAACGTATCTAAGTATCACGATAAGCTATGATATTACGGTCGCAAGATAGAGAATATTTCCAGCAATGATCTCCGAGACGTCTTGTCAATCATACACAAAAAAAGAGTTCAGCTAAAGTAAAGAAAGAAAAAACAGAGTACCTTACAGCAATGGCCTTATCACTAACAAACGATGTAAATAGTGTGTATAGTTCTCGTACTAGAGGGACCTTAAACCTCATACGTAATCCACACCAAAAACAAACAATCTAATAATAAAACTTCCACTGGCTAGTATTTACGCGTGTCGTCGACGGGTGTGCTTATTTTTGCGAATTACAAATCACCTAAAAGACCACGGAGTATCGCCTGATTACGTAACCTACCTGATTACATAACTCTAAATTTAAAAAAAATGGTCATTTCGCGTCGTGTTGCTTCGATTTTTAACATCAAAGCTGCTACGTCTCACGTCATTGTGTATTTTGTCCACGTGAAAATACGCCAAAGGGACGCCGTCACTTTCCGCTTTTCCCACAATTGTTCACGCCGGACACTCAATCGCTATATGCACAATGCCGTGTCCTACATTTTCAACGAACTACGCAGGTAAATGCCATCAGCCCTGAACCGGGTGTCAATGTACCGACAAGAAAAACCTACGATTACGATCAGCAAGCAAAAGTCGTTGGATCACGTAGAACAAATAAAAGCGGCAACTGTTAGAAAAATAATATGGTTATTTCTTCTGGTGACTTTACGCGGTAATTTTGAACGCACGAATATAACGTTAAGTGCGGACTCACGCGTCCTTAACCTATTTCTTAGGAAAAAGCGTCTCGACTATTATTCGAACCTCGTAGGTTATGTAGGGGAATTAGCGTTGCGACGCTTATTATATACGTCCCGTGGGAAGATATATGTAACTTCCGGCAGACGGGCTGCTGGTTGCGTCAAGGATTTCGAAATATTGAATCGCACCTTAGAATCATCATGAGAACGTTCTCGTGCCCGGTCCAACCTAACCTAACCTGTTTGAACCTGTTGGCCTTAATACCTTATAGATTATTACAGTGTCTACTGTTAATGGATGTTACTCTGCGAATGGCACAGTGAGTAAGGATTATATGTACGTATATTTGTTTATCTAATATATAGTATATGTAGGCTTTAGCTTATTTGTCAAGATACCGAAGGTCACTCTGTGACCATCTTGTTCAGGTGCATTTGTAGCTGACGAATAATATCGTGACCATTAAGACGGATATAGTGAGGTCAGCGAATACATGTTTGAATCTTATTATTCGTATGTGATATCACGCGTCAACCCACTATTCGTACAATCATACATTCATGAAAATAAGCCCAAGTTCTAGTCAAAGATGACCTTCGCGACCTCATTTTTAACAACGGTCGCCACTCGAGTCGGTGGTTAGGAAGCAACAAATTGTATTATTACGTCGTTTCTTGTTAATTCGTTGTTTTATGAAATTGTGAATAATTGTAGGAGGGAGGGGATATTAGTTTGGTTTTACGCTTTTTTTTATATGTATTTCACGCGACGTATTAGTGCCGTTAGTTCGCATGGTCATTGTGAGGCGAAAAAGGTTAATGAGATTTTGTTGTCGCTAGGTCGCTTTTTTGTTGCTAATTTCGGGGAACAATAGAAAATTGAATATAGTGGGTCGATTGCGATGATCTTTCCAGTTGGGATATGTATTAATAAGCAGAGAGTACATATTAATGCTAAGTAAAAGATATATGCACGCGTATTCCATCTTATTCCAATCGATAAATGTATATTTAAGAGGTTATATGAATATCAAAAAATTTAATATATTTTCTATCGATATAAAGACACGGAATCGTAAAGGATATTATATGGAATAAATATTGTACGAGTCGATTATACGTACAGAATGTATATCGATATATTTGCGATTTTTTGTTTGTCTTAAGCAACCTATTAATACGAGCTATTGCTATTATATAGAGATTATGTAAATTATGCAATCAATAAATCAGTGAAGTATAGATGTAAGGAGAGTTATTGGCTCTGCTTTATTTTCTCACGCTCTTATTGTTTGTTGAACTTTTGAGTTTTCATTTGCTCTATAAGTTTCTTGCGTAATACGTAGTTTAATCAATTGACAAGATTTGGATCAGACGTTAAGTGCTAACAATTATTTGGCTCCATTAACCATGTGTCTTATTACAAGGGACCTTATTGAACTTTGTTGTATCTGAGAAAGCATGTGAGATCTTTCACAAGCATTATTGCTACAAGTCTATATCTATAAACGAAAAACCCGAAATGTGTTTGTAATACCATACTCGAGCACGGAGCGTCCGATTTGCTTGGGGAATGTTTTTTTGTGTTCGTCTCGGTCATCCCATGGTATGTACGTCAAGAAAAATCCAGAAAACTCAGCCGGAAAAGTGTGAGACCTATATTTCAAGAATCGATGGGCATAGCAACCAGTTGTTTACATAGCAACCGGTGGTTGCTGAGGACCTTCCCGCAACCACAAATTTTTGTTTAATAGAGATGGAAGCGTGGCTGGGACTCTAGTTTATAAGAAAATTGAAATTTCAATTGTATTTATTAATGGGATTCTACAAAATTTTATATCTGAAAATATTATCGTGACAGTGAAGTTTTGCATTGCTAATGTACTTGCAGCATTTATGTGTTACTGGTAATTTATTGATGTCTGGTAAACGCATATTTACCGTTTGCTGCATAAACTGTTTTACCGTATGTAGACGTCGTTAGGAGTAAATTAGCAGCTCTACCTTACCAACAAATATTCACTAGAAATCAAAATGCCAACCTGTATAATCTAGTTACATTGTGAACACAAACAATTGAAGGTTACGTCCAAGATGGTTTTTGCGAATATGACAATGGAATTTTGTTTGCGTATGACATCTAAACAAATTCGAAGCAACGACTGATAAGAGAAATTCTTTTAATACATAGTAAATAAAACAGTACTCGGAAAAAACAATATTATGCCTGGAACGACTCTGATAAACTTCAAACATTCATTTTGTTCGCAGTATTCGCATCCCTTTCATTTAAATATACATAGATAATGTTCAGTGGCACTATGGTTTCTCGAGTAAAATTTCTGACAAGCAAAAAGTAAGACTGTCAGTCGTGGATAAAACGTTATCAGCCAGAAAGGTAAAAGCACGCCGTTTGTCTCGGTAAAAATAATTTAAAAAATACGATTATGTGGACAAGCCCGAGGATACTGGAGTCTTCGTATAAGACCCTACACTCATATTCTAAATTATCCTGAAAATAATCATAGAACGTTTCTGCACTGTAGTGCTGAAACCTCCAAGAATACACATCTGACAAAACGCACGGTGCGCAGCTGTTACTTCTAGAGACAAGAAGAACCCTGGAGAGCGAGGATGGCTAATGCCAGTAACGTATCAATAAACACAAGAACCCATCCTTGTTACATCAGTCAATCCACAGTAAAAATATACTCCAAAATTTATGAAAATTATTTCTTTACAGTTCATTCAAACAGATCATACAGGGATCTCATAAGCAGTAAAAATAATATAAATAAGCAAATATAGATGTTGCTATAAGATTTTATGAAATGTTTGTTCTCTCGATAAATTACACCTTACGCTTATTACACCCCTGAAACGTATAACGTGGTTAGCAATGTGGCGACAGTGCCGTAAAATAAAGGCAGAGAACCACCCAGCGGAACAATACATATTCAGGGATACTAAAGGGCATGTCAAGAGTGGGGATAAAATACTATACAGAGGGGTAAGAAAGATCGAGTGGAGGGGATACTAAAGAGGGAGCTGCTCTCGGATGCCGGCGCCGCTGCAGTGACCGGCTGGTGTCCGTGAGCTCCGAGGTGTCGAAAGGTGGACTTCCCAAGTTCAGAGGAAGAATTGGAAGGAGCGCACGAGATCACACGCGCTCGCGTCCCACTGCATTATAATTAATAGTTAACCTCAGTGACTAATACAGACACAAAACAATTCACAAGCAAAATTTAAAATGGGTATGACTGTTGGATCAGCCCCTCTTTACCGTCAACTTTTAACTTAAATGCAGTACCCTGTATAACTTACCGATCAGATGGCGTTGCTGCTCGTGCTAACAGTCTCTAGCACGGGAGTACCGTGTCTCTAATAAGTGGTCTGTACTGGTGTCCGTGAGCTCCCAGGCGTCGAAACGTGGACTTCCCAAGTTTAGAGGAAGAATTGGAAGGAGCGCTACTTATCTCAGAATTTTCCATTACTTTTGTATCAATCGTATCAATCGGCTCCAGTGTATCTGATTTATTGTTATTGTCAGATTTACTTTGCAGTTCTACTGATTTTGTCACTACGTCAGAAACATCAATTTTACTAGAGGTTTCCTTTCGACTCATCTCTTTCATCACTGGCCGATATTTCAAGTAATTTACCTCATCTACGATCACATCTCTTACAGTCAAAAGTTTCTCATGCTCAACATCCCAAACTTTATACCCATTTGGTTCAAAACCAACTAGAATACCTTTCCAGGATTTTTCATCATATTTTCACTTCTTGGTTTTATTATATGTATATAGACTGTTGAACCGAAAATCTTCAAATACTTTACTTTATGCCTTTTACCGTGCCACCATTCGAAATGGGTTTTATTAATTTTTAGAACTTTTGTCGCAGTCAAATTAATTAAATACGTAGCAGTTAGAACTGCTTCTCCTCAAAAATCTTTATCTAAACCTGCACAGTTTTTCATTGCCCGTGCTCTTTCAGTTATCGTTCGGTTCATGCGTTCCGCAACGCGATTTAATTAGAGAAGTGCGTGGAACAGTCAAGTGATAGCTGATTCCTTTCTGCACGCAATAATCATTCATTTCATTTGAATATTCTGTACCGTTATCATGATACAAATGCACGACCCTTGAATTAAAATGAGCTTTACTTTTTGCAACATAGTCTTTGAAAACCGAGTGAACGTCAGACTTGTGTTTAATTAAATATGTCACAGTGTAATGTGTAAACTCATCGACAAATGATACATAATAACTTTCGTTATTGATGGTAGGCGGAGAGATTTTCCCGCACACGTCTGTGTGAACAATAAACAATGGCCTCTTTACGTGACTTTTATCCTTCGCTTTCTCGAATGGTAATCGAGCTTGTTTACCCTTAATACAAGCCTCACATAAATCGTTGTTCGGTATTACTTTTTCGAGATGTCTGATATCCTGGACCATTTGTTTATTTTTCAGCTCTTGAAATTTAGTCTTACCAATATGACCTAATCGCTGATGCCACAAATAATAATTATTCCCATTCACATTATATACTTGAGAATTTACCTTTTTTGCAACTACAAATTCAGCCGCTACTAAATTATTTAAGGCATATCGTACATTATAATTTTACCATCTTTGCTTATCTGTACCCCTTTTTCATCAAAGGTGATACTCATCTCTGCCCGCTGCATTCTCCTTACATACAGCAAATTGTATGGGACCTCTGGACAGTAGAAGACGTCTTCGAGGACAGCTTGTATACCCAGATTACTCGTTACTTCGATTTTTCCTCTTTTGGTTGCTGTTGTAAACTCTCCATTTTTCGCCACGGAAATTTTTATCAGCGGTTCCAGCTCAATTTCACTTGAGAACACGTTGTCTTTATTAATAAGATGGTCAGATGATCCTGACTCCAATAAAAACATCAACTTGTCACTCTCATTTGCTTGATACTCTCCAGTCATGAAAGTGAAATCCGATTTCTCATTCAACTCCGTTTGCACAGTTTGAACTGTATGGAGCGTTCTGTCACGTTCTGCTTTGTACTGCTGATTCTTTTTATAGTAGTAACAGTCTTTCATTTTATGGCCGGGTCGTCCACACTGATGACACTTTCCATAGGGTAAATTTTTGTTCGACTTAAACCCTCTTGAAAAATGTGAGCCTCTACCTCTTAAGATAAAGATAAAGTCCCTTAAAGATAAAAAGCCCTATGTTATTTCTATGAAATCAATGCTAATGTTACCTCTCCACGTCGATTTGATTTTGAACTTCTAATCATTTGGAATAGTTCTTGGTATAAGAGAGACTAAATAATCCAACACTGTCTCTTACCCTTCGTCCTTCCACGTCACCAATTTTGATAACCCGAGTACACCCAAGTGCTTTCAAAGAGGCAGAAAGCTTTCAGCAAGAAACGTGATCGTTATTTGTAGGTAAGATGGTACAAGCAACAAGAGTCGAAAACAATCAGATAGGCGTTGAACAAGAAAACAGAAAATTCTTGAGTAACAGAGAAAAATTGTCTAAGGCAGACTTGCTTCCAATCAAGTCACAAATATGAAA